GTAAAGTAACAGTTTAACTTCATCACGGAGAAAGAGTTTTGACAAGTGGAAAAGCGTTTGCTTCAACATTTCTTTCTTCTCGATATACCTCCCTTTGTGGTAAAACAGAACATGTACTTTCAGAGCATCAAAGCTGGAAACTTATAGGATGATCCGGTGCTTGTTGTACCCAAATGTTTGATGCCGGGCCTCAGAGTCATTTGGAATAACAATTTCAGGCGATCAAATTGTGAGCTTGTAAACTTCATTAGCTAGTCGACAGAAAAACTCAAAAGTAAGTTAACCTCAACCCAAAGTCGACGACCTAAAATTCTTTAGATACAGACCTTGTTCTAAACAGTCAATTTGGAATAGGAGGCGAAACCAAATAAGTGAGTGAGACGATATTTTCCTCAAAATATAAGTAGGCTTGCGAACAGAATGACGATGATGATGATGAATCTATCTCCTTAATCTGTTCCCACTCCTTGGTTGAGAGATCAAACAAGTGAATTTCACAAGTAGAGAACAAAGTTCTCGAGTTCTTAGATATTACCCCTCTTTGTTCGTAAACAACCCACTTTCCATTGACGAGTATTTCCAATCCGCGACGAAAAATTAAGTCATCCTTCCAAATGTTATTTAAAGGAACCCGTGCGGGTACTATATCTTGTGTCCAAGCCTTATTCTTAATGTCATAGTGGAAAATCTTTTCCAGGGATAAATATCGATTGTCCCAAACAAGCCTTGGGAGTTCCTGCCCTATGGCTATACCGGATCCAAAATTCATAAGCTCCACAGATGGTTTCCCGTCATCATCATCACTTTCTAGTGGTAACGACAGATTAATGCGGATAAACTTCTCTTCAGCAAGATGAAAAGCCGTAATTTCATCCGATTGCCTCTAGCAAAGGATTCCGTTCCTCCCCAAGTATGAAGCCGCTGGGTAAGTATCTTTGGTGGGACTGACGAGAGGATTCTCCATGAAGAATCGACCTCAATGGTGAGAATCCCTACGTAAGGACCGCATATCTTGAGTAATTTGTACTTTTTGTACATGGGATCAAAACCCAAGTAAGAATCAACAAACTGATTAGAGGACGAATCGTTTTTGATAAAGTGAGGAAGTATGATCATCTCTCGAGTGGTAATGTTATACAACCACGATTCCTCTTATGTGTAAAAACATAGTAGTCCGTTCACCACATTTGTGAATGATTTACCCTCCTTATTATCATCGTAAGCCAAGGCGTAATCTGGAAGAGTATCTTTACCACAGTCTCTATGCAGGCTGGAAAATGAGAAGTTTAATAAGAACCTATCCTCATAATAGGTGAAATTCTAAGAGACGAGACATGGAGAAGCACCACGGTAGATATTGGTGAAGGATGGATCGGTAATTATAGATAGCCAAATTGGAGAGACACACTTGAATCGCATCAGTGATTTCGAGGGAAGTCTTGTAAGGATTTCTCGAATCAAATCGTTGGGGATCGTCGCAGGTTCTGAACGGCGCTGACAGGATTTAACGCCTGACATTGTGGATGAACTAAATAATGTGAGGAAGACTTAAATATTTAGGGTTTATATTAATATGGATATGATCTTATATTTATTTGATCTTTTGTGCCTATATATGTGAATCCAAATTGGAATGTGAAAAAAGCAAGTCTTTGAATTTTCGATGGGTATAAAATCAGTACAATATTTTACTGGTTACACAAATATTGAGGAGAATTTTACTTTTGGGAATTAGTGAAGTTTTGAAGAAAAGAGACAATTTGATATGTTTTTTTTCTTCGCTTTTGGGAAAAGAATCCTACATCGGTATCGTAAATGATCTGTCACCTATTTATAAGTGCCAAAGGCCACCCACTCATTGTCAATGGGTTTTGAGATGGAAGTCCAAAGTGACTTTGACATGGTATCAGAGCCCACGATTTGTGGACCTGTGATAACTATGGACCCGCGTGTGAGCCCTTGGACCCGTGTGCCTTGGACTTGCGTCAATTGCTTCCGTGCGTACGGGTGAGCTTGTGTACTGATCAGGCAGTATATCCGGAGTGTGTACCCGTTTATACGGGTTTGTTGACTGACCCAACAGTATATATGGTAAATTATGTTGTGTTGTGCAACCCTAATAGGCTAAATACCCCATTAGGCTTGAAGGAAAGTCTTGGGAAAAGAATCCCACATCGGTGTCGTGAAGGATCTGTCGGTGTCACATGTTTTGAGATGGGAGCCCAAGTTGACTTTGACATGCTGTTTCAGGTCAACCCACCGACATCAACCTTCCTATTCATTCAATATATATACTGAGTACGAGAGAGTAGATCCCAGAAGAAGCGGAGAATCGCAATATATATAACCCCTTTGGCTATAAGATGGATGTCGCTCAATGTGGAAGAATTGGATCTCAATTCTCTAGTGTGGCGTGCCCCAAAGAATTTTTACTTGCGAAACTCCTGAGATTCTCAGGTTGATTGCGGTGTATCAGTCTTCCCAAGACTGCCTGCATTCCCAATTTGGCAACGCTTGACCTTGATTCGGTTATATTCCAAGATGATGAATCTGCCACCGACCTATTTTCTTGTTGTTTGGCCCTTGAAAACTTGTCATTGAATACACTCGCCAGTCGCCAGCACTCAAGTGTCTGAAACTGGTCGATCACCACAATGGTTTTGAACATGAACACGGCAATGTAGCTATGCTAGATATAAATGCCCCTTCTTTCCAAAACCTTGAACAAAGCCAGCTTTGAGTTGCATGATGATCTGTCCTGCCTGTCTCTTGTCGAATGTTTTGAAGCATTCAACAATGTCAAGTTATCAATTTGCTAAGTATTCATTTGCTAGAATACGATATTGCTTTCTAAAATCGATGAGATTTGCCATGGGATTAATGTTGAACTGATCATCGTGACAATTAATGGCGTTATAGCTTCTGATATTGTAGGACTTCAACTTGGAATTAGAACTTCCATAGGTAAAATTCGTGAATGTAAACTTGAAAAGATGTGGGGTTTATGCAACGTAAACTTTGAAATTCGAAAACCTTTGCGTGCATTAATTCCTTGTTTAGCAGATGAAAATGGAAAAAAGTGTCTTCTCTAACACATCTTTTTTCTCCAGGGGTCCTAATTAAAACAGGGTGGAAATTCTAGCACAAATGTGTTACAAAGGGTTCAAATACATCCTACCGTAACATTTGACGATCGCCAACGTTTTCCTAGAGGCCGAAAAGAAGATAAAGTAAAGGAGAAACTTTTAGAATTGGAGCACCAAAATCGTGAATGCAAAACCAAATTTCGAATAGCTCAAGTTCAAAAGTTAATGAAGAGTTTCCATAAAGGATCAAGGACATGTGAAATTAAGTACTTTTGACCATGCTTTTAGGGGAGTGAATCTTGTCTGATCATTCTCATTTCTGGATTAATTGTGTTTTAGATAGTTTTAAGGGGACTTGCCCCGCCCTTTCTTTGGGCAAATTGTGCCAATTTCATCATTCCAGTCGTCGATTAGCAAATTCTGACCAATTGGTCAAAGATCATCGGAAACTATATTTTATTGTTATTGGAAAAAAAAACTTCAAAGCTTAAGTGTCGATTAATTTACTTCAAGTTGTACTAGTTTAATTAACTTAATCATCACAACCATTAAACAATAAGGAAAAAGTGGGAGTTGACACACAAGTCATAATCCAACACCTAAATTGCTCCGGGAAGCCAAAACCTACTAACATATCTTCTATAAACTCCCATTCAACCGAATCATACGCTTTTTTCAGATCGATTTTCATCATCAATCTCCCACTTATCCCCTTTCTCCTATACAGTCTAATCAACTCCTGAACTATTAGTACATTATGCATAATCAGCCTATCTTTTAGAAATGCATTCTAGTTTTGATCAATCAATACAGGTAAAAGATCTTTTAATCTATTATACAAAACTTTAGAGATGCATTTATATATAATGTTACAGCACGCAATAGGCCTAAACTGATTTGCATTCAAAGGAGAATCAAATTTTGGAATTAAGACAAGGGACATAGAATTCAACTATTTTAGTACCTGGCCCGTGTCGAAAAACTCCAGCACTGCCGCAGTAAAATCCTTCCCCACCACGTCCCATGCTGCTTTGTAGAATCCTGAGCCATAACCGTCTGGTCCTGGACTCTTGTTGACATCCATTTCCCACAGGACAGCTTTAATTTCTTGTTTCCCAACTGGTCTGATTAGATTTAGTTGCTGCTCTACTGACAGTCTTGGTCCAGCTAAAAAGTTGTCTTCTGTTGCTGAAATTCTATTGGCAGATTGGCCCAGTAGTTTATGATAAAAGCTGAGAAAGTGCTCTTCAATCTCTTCCTATTCTGTAACTTCTTGTCCCCCTTCTTCAACCACTGACCAGATTCTATTTCGCATTTGTCTCACTTTCAGCAGAGAGTGGAAATACTTGGTATTATCATTACCTTCAGAAATCCATTGTTCTTTGGCCTTTTGCTGAACATAACTGTTCGTATCTTTACTTGATTGTATATACTTCCTGGCAGCCTCTCTTTCCTTCTCTCACAAGTAACAATTCTCGGGATCCCTGCTTAACTCTAACTGACTTCTACTAAAGCATTCTGGTCCTGAGTCGCAGTCTTTACAATATCAGCATATTCTTCCTTGTTCAGTCTCTTAAAGGTTTTTTCAGCGATTTCAACTTAGCACACACCTGGTACATCTTTGTCCTATCTACTCTTCTTTCCCACACTCTTCTTACAATATTTAGGAACTCAAAGGAATGGCTCCACAAATAACGAAAAGGCTTTGGTTTCTGAATGCTTGGCGTGAACAAGTTCAGTACCAGGGGGAATGATCTGAAATGCCCTCTAATTGAACTTCAACTGTTGATTCGGGATACTGATCTACTCATTCTCCGTTAACAAGAGCCCTATCCAACTTAGAGTAAATCCTATCAATCCTCATTCTTTGGTTACACCATGTAAATAACTTCCCTGTGTAGCAATGATATCTCTTCATGAAGAATCGACCCCAATGGTGAGAATTGCCACATATCTTGAGTAATTTGTACTTTTTGTTGATGGGATTGAAACCCAAGTGACAAGCAACGAATTGATAAGAGAGGACGAATAATTATTGCCGGTGAACTTGATATAAGAAGACGTGAAGTCAGGAAGTTTGATCATCTCTCAAGTGGTAATGTTATACAACCATGATTTCTCGTCTTTGTATAGACACAGTAGTCCGTTTATGACATTTGTTAATGATATTCCCTCCTTATTATCGCAATCAAAGGTGTAATCTGGAAGAATATCATTACCACCGTCTCTACGGAGGCTGAAAAAACGAGAACTTTAATAAGCTATCCTTATCCTTATTGCTCAAACTGAGGATACACGGAGAACCACTGCGGTAGATATGGGTGAAGGATGGATAGGTAATTATGGATCGCCAAGTTGAAGAAACACACTTGAATCGCATTAGGGATTTCGAGGGAAGTCTTGTGAGGATTTCAGGGATCAAATCGTCGGGGATCATTGTAGCTTTCTGAACAGCGGCGGCAGGACTTCACTGCCGACATTGTGAAAAGAATAAAGTGGAGAAGATTTTAATATTTAGGGTTTCATTAGAATCTGGATGTGATCCTATTATATATATCTATCTATCTATCTATCTATAGTGTATATATATATATATATATATATATATATATATTATACTAAGAGAGAAACCAGAGAGAAACCAAACTATAGGCAATTTATTGGGTGCATCCGGGGGTACCATACTCCCCCTCCTATTTTTTGCACTACTAGTCCTTATTGTACTTTTTTTACTTTTTCTAATAATCTTCCTATTATTTGCAAGTTTAGTCCCTGCCACTTTTTCTTTCTCTTCTAAAAAAATATCTCTAATATTCAAACGATCATATCTCTCAATCCGTGAAGAATTAGAAAACGTGTTACACATGAATTTTATTGTATTCGCCGAGATCTATCCAACAAGATCCATGTCGAATGTTTTTTCCGAGTTTAAAAATGACTAAATTTCGATGGGCGGAATAAGATGGATATCTAATTTAGAAAGATGGATAACCCAATTCATTTTAAATTGATTATCCATTGTATTTATATTGATTATCCAACCAGTTTGAACTGGTTATCCAACTTGTTTGTACTGGATATCCACCCATTTGGTTTGTATGCCTATCAAACTTGTTTGTAATGGATATTCCACTTGTTTGTACTGGATATCCATTTCGTTTGTACTGGATATCCAACTCGCTTGTACTAGATATCCATCCATTTGGTTTATATGCTTATCCAACTTGTTTTATAGTTGTAATCCAGCGGGTTTGTATGCATATCCAACTTGTTTGTGCTGAATATCCAACTCGCTTGTACTGGATATCCAACTTGTTTGTACTGGATATCCATCCATTTGGTTTGTATGCCTATCCAACTTGTTTGTACTGGATATCCATCCATTTGGTTTGTATGTCTATCTAACTTGTTTGTACGCACTGGATATTTATCCAACTTGTTTGTAGATATGCATCCATTTGGTTTGTATGCATATCCAACTTGTTTGTAATGGATATCCCACTTGTTTGTACTGGATATCCATTTGGTTTGTACTGGATATCCATCCATTTGGTTTTTCTTTTTATTATTATTATTTTTTTGAAAATAAAATAGGTAATTTGTCCAAACCGGTTGGATAATCGGTATGAACACAACGGATAATCATTTTTCAGTTTATTCATTTCTGCCCGTAAGATTTAAATGCATTTAAAGTTCAAAAGAAATATTCAACATTGATCTTATCAGATAGATCTCGTCGAGCACTATAAATTTCATATATAATTCGTGTTATAATTCTTTATGGATCAAAAGATATAAGGAACACAACAATGTGAATTCAAAATAAGTTGGTTATCCATCTTCTTAAACTGGATATCCAATGTGTTCATATTGATTATCCAACTTCTTTGTGGTAGTTATCCAGTATTTTTTTCCCTTGCTCTTTTATGAAAATGATTGTCAAACTTTTTTGTACTGATTATCCAACGTGTTGCACTAATTATCCAATTATTTTCTATTGATTATCCAAATTGTTTGCAATGCTTATCCAATCTTTTTTTTTTCAAACAATCGAAAAAAATATTTTCCAAAAATAAATTTCGAAAAGTTAATATTTCCGCAAAATCATAACGGGTGCAGGACTGTAAAAGCCTCTATTCTCTATTGAAAGGCCGAAAGTCATTCCAAACAGCAGACGAGCAAGTTAAAAAGAAATAATTTCCTACAAAAAAAAAATAGAAACGCAACTCCTCACAAAAACATGTTTTGAAGATTCCATCTGCTGTATCATCGAAGTTGAGCGCCGGAAAATCCTAGGAATATTGCTAAGAAACGGTGACTCGAGAGAAATCACCCACAATTATTGATGACGAGTACGTGGGAAAGCATATTGACAAGGTAGCAATAGAAACCAGAGCCAAACAATTATTGGAAGCAGATTCTTTCATATTCCAATGTTTTCTTTTTTATTAATTATTCTCCTTACTTAAATTATTGGGTTGCATGTATGTTTTTTCTTAACGATAAATTTGTCTCCTTGCTAACCATTAACATCTAAATGTTGTTTAGAAATATGAACCTTTTGCAGGGTTATGATCAACTTGGTTTTTGTCGGCTAAGCAAAAACGTTATCAATTAGATCACAAAAATCAATCACTAGAAGGTACATTGACAAAATATCCTCGCAAAAATGCATTGTTCATTTGTTAATTAGTAGTTTGGATTTGTTTATATTTATTTTGCCACAAGACAGTTTCATTCTTTTTATATTTTGGGCTTGCATTTGTTTTTAGCTTATTTTGCCACGCGATAATTTCATTCTTTTGATATTTTGTGTGATTTAGTAAAAATATACATATAAAGTGCTAAATGGCACACGTTAAAAAATAATAATAATAATAAATAAATAAATAAAAGGAAAAAAAAAAAAGAATGCCAAGAAATAGATGCATGACAGATTCGGAGGCCTAAATGATGAAGAATCCATGTCATGAATCTGTTCCCACTCTTTAGTTGAGGGATCAAACATGTAGATTTCGTGACTGAGGACATCCCTCTTTCCATTAGGGAGTATAGCCAATGCACACCGATACATTAAGTCATCATCCGCAACAACATTGTTCGGGGATTACCTCTTTGGTCCAAGTCTCTTTTTTTTATTTTATTTAATCGGATGGCTCCAGTAAAAATTGAACCCTCGGTCTCCTTGTAATAACCATCCCTTTCCTAATCTCCTAACCACCCCACCCAATGATGAAAAATCTTTTCTAGGGTTCAATCAAATCTATCCCCAGTAGGCGATCCGCGTTGAAGATTAATTGGTATTTTTCTCGTGGGCACAACACTCAGGAAGCTCTGCTTCACTACAACTATACTGGATCCGAATTCATAAGCTTCAACTGTTTTCTGTAATCATCAGTTTCAATATTGGGTAAGAGATTGGGGTCAATAAACTTGTCTTCAGTTGGATGAAAAGCCGTAATTTGATGAATGATGATGATACGGATACATCCAGCCAATTATTCGACCATAGCGTGAAGCTCGAGATTTACCACATTTGTGTATGCCTTCCCCGTCTGCTCGTAAAATCCATGGGTGTAATTTGGAAGAATATATTTACCACTACCAAGGCTGGAAAAGGAAAATTTTAATAATAGCCAGCCCTTATTATTGCAGGAATTCTAAGAGAGGAGACATGGAGGATCACCGCAGAAGTTATTGGTGAATGATGGATCGGTAATTATGCATAGCCAGATTTGTGAAACACATTTAAATCTCATTAGAGATTCTGGGGAGAAGTCTTCACAGCATGAACCAAATATTCAGGGATCATCAGAGGTATGGCGACCGTTCCAATAGTGTTGTTTTGCGACCAAGAGTTTCTCATTGAATATTATATTTTTAATATAAAAGATACCTTAAGTTTGCACAGTGGAATTTTTTATTTTTTTCCCTTTTTTTGGGGCTTTGTTTTGCGCAAATAACTCTGTCCATATTTTATTTGTTGCCACGCCCTATAATATCTGACTGCACTGCAAATCGAAAGAGAGAAGCCTACTTGTGTTTCATACGGGGGTATACATGTATTATTTGTTTCATTGCAAGATTCTATAAGAGAACTAAGATCAATCTAAATAGAAAATGAACACAATTCATGCAAAACAAGACATGATTTGGTCAAAGGCGAGGATTGGGGGTGGAGAGAATAACTACACTATGTACAAGCAACAAAAATGGCACCTCAAATGCCCGAGAGCTGGGTTTGGATGATAGGCTCATCAATCAACAGAAACGCTTCTAACAACTTACAAGAAAGAGAACCCATCTCAAGACCAGCAACTTACAAGATAGGATAGAGTGACACCAATTTAGCTTACATGATCTGGTATTCAGCTTTACGGTGGATGAGCCATGCTTTTCTCCAGACACTTAAGTCAGCATTACATGCATCTATTTCTTGTTCTTTGCATCAGACTTAAGTTCAACCATGCATTTGGACAACTCTTTGCCTTGACGCTAAAAGCCAAACAAAAATCAATAAATAATTCATCAGAGAAACAACAATTGAGTATGACCATTTTTTGGCAACATTATCATACGAATACGCAAATTAATAATTTCTACCAAGTTGGAAAACTTCAAGAGAGAATGTAGTTTCTAAAAAACACCAAGAAATCTTGACACTGAGAAAGGTGCCATGGGTGGAAATAAAAACGATGAGAAAAAGTGAACACAACAATAATACTTGAGAATATCTTAAGAACTATCAACATATTGAACCTTGATCTCAAATCTTTGTAACAATGTGTCGTGTTTAAAAGACAACAAGAAGCTTTTCCCCCACCAGGTGGGGACAGCTATTGCATCATATATTGCCATTGTGCTCGGACATTACATAAGCCACCTTTCAAATTTCAACATTTCAAATAATTTTTGATAGTTTCTTTCCAAGTTTTTTTAGGTCTACCCCTACCCTCCTAATCTGAATTCTTGATAATATATTATCTACCCTCCTAACCGGGGTCTCCGCCGGTCTTCTATTGTTACCATGTTAAAAAAAGAAAAACTAAAAGCATGAGTGAAATTCCTCCTCCATTTGGGAGAATCAATCCTTAGACCTATAAACGATCCACTTAGAATACCAGTCTAGAACTACATATCATGTTTAATCAAAATGCACATCCTCATTTTAAGCATTACACGCATTCTCTTCTTTTTGATGACTATTTCTATGCGGGTAAATTCTTAACTTTTTGTGCCACTTAAATTATAATGTGATGTTGCTATCATTTTTTCTTTCTGAAGAAATAAATTAAGCATTTAGAACTTCAAGATACATTCGATTCAAACCCCCCTCCAGTTTTACTTTTACTTAATTGCTTTTCCTAAACTTGCACTACTTAAAATTCTAGTGTGATAATATTCACATTTTTCCTTTTTCTTATATCTTCAGAAGAAACTCATAAATATTCAGAACTTTTAGATACATTGAGCTCATAACTTCTAATTTGAATATTATTTAATTGCCGCTTCTCCCATACTCACTGTATCAACACTTCACATATTTAGACTTGCTTCAGCATAAACTTAGTAGCCCTTCAATCCCAAAGCAAACAAAGGTTTTCAAGTGGGGTCTCCTGACACATACTCACAAGTCATCTCATATCTATACTCACATTACACTATATGTAAATCATTTTTCTTTTCTGAATATCAGAAGATCAGAAACTAGAAAATAAACCATGTTTATTAATATGCCCTGTAATACCAATTTTTCCAATCTAGAAAATTAGCCAATCAATGACCTTCTTCAGCATATGGTTTAGAAACATGTCTTTATTTGTTATCAAACGAATTTCTTATGAAACTAATATTTGCACACCAGATAGAATCTAAATATAGACAGATTCATGGACAAACCTTGTTCAAATTTTCCCAAGAGAAATCACATTTTGATTGCAATAAGCACCATTCCATCGCCAACTCGTATTCCAATGTGTTAGGCTGAGAGAAGTGAGAAGTGGATAGCGCATCTTTCTGATAGAGCAACAACAAAAGTATCGTTTATACAGATGAAATACATAATAGTGGGGGGAAAAAAAAGAGGCACTATAAAATCACCTTTTCTCTCTGCATTTGAAGTTTAATCTTGTTGGTGAACAAATGGCCAACAAAATTACCTCGCTTTTTTGTTGGTTGAGGAAGATTCACAATGCTACCAACAAGGACCCTACAGTCACAAGATATCCTATATCACTACAAGACCCCATGCAATCACCTACTTTCCATTCTAAAATCTTACTTCAAAAACACAACCGCCCCTATAAAAAAATCCAACAAAAAAATGGGAGGGAGTGTTGAATGGGCGGAACTAACTCGTCCAGCTATAAAACTGTCATTTTCTTCAACCAGTTTTAAAGTTGATTAAAATCAAAACATTCAGTTGCATCTAGAGATTAGAAATGTAATCCACAACATACCTTTGGTTAGATATCAATAAGCACCCATCATTAAGTTTCCCAACAACCCTCTCTGCAGCATCTCTTGTTCTTAATATAACAAGAGCTTGACCTGATAACAGGATACGAGAAAGGGCAGAGGAACGATTACCATGTTGATTTCCAAAAAATATATATATATATATATATATATATATATATATAAAAGGATTAGAGAACATACTAAGTCAAAACACACTAAGAATCAACATCAAGTTACAAGTTATTCAAAGTAACTAATTAATTTATCTAATTGTCCAATACCATAATGCGGAGAACTAAAAGCAGTACGTTGGACCATTTTCGCTGTACATTTCTCCTTAAATGCACTCCACAAAATGTCCTGCAATACAATAAAATAAAGCCATCAAAACTCAAGAAAAAATACACAAATCCAAAAGTAGTTCACCCCGAACAGCCACAGGCTGAAAGCTAAACATACAAATTTAAGAACGTAATTATACGGTGTATCATTATTTACAGGCAATACATTGGCAAATGGAAAGAGAATCTGCATCAACACCATGGAAGAAATGCAGTACAAAACAGAAATATTTTAATTCAAGCACAATACCATGCTTCATAAACAAAGCTTTGTTTTGTAACCTTCCAAAACTACAGAGTCGCCATTAACATGGAGACCAGATAATCATTGAGGTATAAAATCCATTTAGTTTAAAAACCTATGATCGGGCAGGAGCTACGCTATCCTTTTTTTATCTTTCATTTTTTTCTGTCAATTCAGAAACACTGACCAATTGTGAAAGATGATTTTATATGAAATAGAAAAAACTAAGACAAGCGATCAATAGCCACGTATGATTAAGCTTCAAGTGCTTGCTTAGTGCTTAAGGCTTCCTCACCCAAGGATTCCTTATTGGAATGGAAAAATTCTATCAGAGTTATCATAAAGAGTGCCAAAGGTCAATAATCAGATCGAGAAACAATACGAGAGCTTGATAGAATGACACAGATTGTTCACAATTATACCAAGCCAAAAATATTTTAAGAGGTATGACACTAAGCATATCAAAAATTTACAAAGAACTCTACCTCAACCTCCCCTGATGTATGTTCTGGGTCTAAATTCTGGAGCAGAATTACCCTCCCATCATCATGCGCATTTTTTAAATTCTCCCAATGCTGATCAACAATAAAAAAGAAGCTATTAAGTTGCAGCCAAGGTTTCTTTCCAGTATTACAAGCTTCTACTATAGCACCAATTTTCTAAATCACAGCCAATATAGGATGCATGCATTCTTTCAACACATCTATTGGCCACTAAGTCATTTCTAATTGTCCAATTGAAAGGTAGACCACAATCTGCCTACCAAATCTCATGTTATCATGTAGTGTAACTGTATAGTTTCTAACTTCATCAGCAATACAACATGAACCACAGATACTTCAGCACGTATTATGCAAATAACATCATTGATAAAATATACCTATGCACGATTACATTTCATGCCCAATCCATCTAAATGGCCCCTAGGCCATAGAATCTCTTGCATGCAGTAAGTCCAAGGGAGGGACTGTTCATTCAATGCATGCAGGCAGCCTTAAGTTATAGTTCCATGAGAGGCTGTTTCTAAGATGAGGTCCTTATGGCAATAATGCCTCTTGCCACTGAGCCAAGGTTCCCCTTCAACCTAAGCAAAGAATGCTGTGCTGACTACTGCATTCAACTTAAAAGCTACTCATAAAAATATTGAGCTTCAGAACATTGTGTCTCCAGTATATCAATTCAAAATGTCAACTATTTCAGACACCAATTCAAAATGTCTCCAGTACAACTAGTCTGGTGAAAACAACCTAATTTTCAAATCAAAACATAAAACAGTGGTTAAGAATCACTTACATTAGATGTGAACCATCCCTTCCCCTGCAAGAAGAACAAGGTACAAAAAAATAAATAAATAAATTAGAGATCATATATAAAATGGAGATAATATTAAAGACATAAAAAATGCTAGCAAAAGTTAAAAAGGAGCAACAACAAAGATAACATAAAGAGGTCTTATTCTGGAAACAAAAGGAAGGGGAGCAAAGTTCAAATAAAAATATCCCACGTGACTCCTAACCAAATAGCCAAAACACATGTCCTAGCTACAAGAAGTTTCCACGAAAATGGCCATTCATAACAAGCTACTGCTTTATCAAAAAAAAAATAACAAGCTACTGCAAACTGACCACCAAATATCAGATTAACAAAACATAAGACAAGTCATTAAAAGTTAAAACTACAAACCTAGAGCTAGATTCTCCTGCAAATTCACACACAGATTGAGAATTGACAGGATTATAAATACTCATATATCTCATGAATAATTTAAAATTTCACAATTTCAGAAACCTATTCTCAATCTCGTTGCACCTCTTATTCATATTCCTCATCAGATCGTAATTGGGTAGTGTTCCCAAGGTAAATTAACATTGATCCATAAGTAAAAGATTTCTTATGAAAACTGTCAAAATTCATTCCAACCCCCAAGCCTAACCGGAAAAACAAGAACTGCTAAACAAAATCACATTCCCAATAGAGCTGCAGGAGTTCCAGCATAAGTCCCAAACGTTTGCTCAGATGACCAAATCCCTCATTAAAAAGATATGAATATTAGTCTAATAGTCATGGACAAACATTCGAAACCTTCCTCGAACATGATCTTCCCTCCAAGTCCTTTCAGCTATAGCTTCTACTCCTCTATGTGAGATATGTATAGGTCTCCTACGCACATACAAAAATCATCTTCAAACCTGATTGTGCCATTTTTCTCGCCATCGGTGTTGTGCCCCCTTTATTTCTAATGCATTCATCACAAGTTCGATCTGGTCAAGTAAATCAACACATCCATCTCAACATTCCCATCACCGCTAATATTCTGAGGTGATGGTGCTAGTTAGGGCCCTAACTGCGACAAAGGAATTTCTTGTTCACTTTTTGTAAAACAATGAAGTTATATTTTAATGCGATCAACTACTCAACCACCCCCGGCATAAAAATGCCGACTAGACTAAGAGTTTGTTTGGTAACTGAAATTATTCTTAAAGTTATTTCTTAAAAGTGGTCTACTAATTTGAATAAATATGTTGAAACTAGCATACAAAGTAAGTGATAAAATCTAACTTCATGCTTATTACCCATTACTCTCATCATTCTTTTTTATTCATTCAACAATCATGTTACTGAATATACTGAGGATTAATTATTCCTCAACCATTTCAATGGCTAATTTCACTAAATTTTCCAATTTATTTCATAGATATACATTTTAATTATTCTTAGTTTTCTTCATATCCAAATCCAATAATTTTTTATTAAATAGGTATTTTCCATTTTAGAATAATCTAATAGTCAATATTTTGTTCATAGTGAATGATATTTATGTATAATTGAGAAAAAAAATATTTACAATATTGTTAACAAAAAATTATAATCAATCAAAGGGTAAATTAGTACATTTAAAGCAGCAGTTCAACATTCAAATCAGCATGTTTTGACCCTGTGTCCAACCTCCCAAACCAAAAAAAATTTAAAAGCCCGCTAAAACATAAAATCCAATACAAAATAGATCACATCCATACAACATTTTAACTCACATCCTAAAATTTATCTTCCTACATCCATCTCAGAAAAATAGTCCAATTTGCAAAACTAAATATAGAAATTAGATAACTTAATCTTGCAAGTTTAAAAATTAATATGAAAAAGTGAATAAAGTTTCATGACTATTAATCAGTTAATAATCAATTTTATGTTATATACCAATCTCATAAGTCCAATTTTAGAACTGGACAAAATTTCCGTTTCTAAAATTGAACTATTTTATTGGAACGTAATAAATATTATTTTCACTCACCACCACCACTGGATCACCCACCGTCGGCACCGCCAGACCAAATCCGGCCAAATTGGCTGGAATCTAGCTGGCTGGCCACCGGCCAATGGTGGTCCGACGCCAGCGCGTGGTGGTCAAGCGGTGGCAGTGGAGGTAAGTGGCGGTAAGTGGCCCAACATTGGTGGAAAATTCATTACTCTCTCCGTTTCAAATTATTGTCCACTTGCAATGTTCACTTCTAATATAAATTGAACTTAAATTAAAAATTCAAATTGAACAATAATTTTGAGACAATGAGTATTTTATTCAAAAAAACTATATGCACTTAAAGTTCCATTTAACACATTTAAACCACAATTCAAATCTAAAACAAAAATGAAAACAAAAAGCCAAGTTTTAAACTAGCATATTCAATAAAGCAAATTAATTCAAAAATTTTAAATTTAGATATTACTCATTGAATTAAGCACCTTATTCAATTCTCTATTTCTATTTTAGCCTTCAGCATTCAGAACTAAACACTAATTTTTATCGGTATGACAGCGTTCAACATTCAAAATTAAACAATAATTTTAATCAATTTTGCAGCATTCTGCATTCAAAATTAAGCACTAATTTTTATCAGATAAATCCGAAAATAGAAAAAAGGGCGACAATATTAGGTTGAATTGTAACCAACCGCTAAGTTAGAAGACTTCCCTTCGTTAAAAAGCATAATCTCTTCAAAACTTAGGCACCTTGGTCGGAAACATGTAAAGTGAGTTTCCTCAAGTACGACAAACTCATTTTTTTTCCAAAATTTACATTCCACACGAGCACTTATTGGACATGAAATATGGCCACATCATACATTCAAAAGTTATCCTTAAAATAAGATTTTGTAGGTTGCAACTTACATTATTTGGCCTTCGAGAGACTTCATAAGTCTTGCCTACATCAAGACATGCCTCAGAGATTTTGCAAGAGTTGTAATCCGAGCAAGCACTAATCGTATCAAGCTTTTTCTTTGAGAGGCCTTCATGAATAGCAATAGATGCTTTCGTAGGCTTGCTTTTACTCCCAATAGGCTTCTCTTCAATTGGGCCCTCGCCCAGAGAATTATTGATAGGTAACCTCATCTTCCCACTACGCTTCTCCTTACAAGGGCCCTTCTCACTTCCATCAACACTAGAATAAGGGGCTTTGTTCAAAGCAATAGAGCTTTCGGCTGGCTCACTTAAATTTGAATTAAACCTTTTCTTAGATGGGTCGTCACACCCCACCGAAACTTTAGCATGCTCCCTCAACTTCTCATCACGCATCTTATTCGATAGATCGTCATCCAATTCTTTAGGACTTTTAGCATGCTCCCTCAACTTCTCATCACGCATCTTATTAGATAGATCGTGATCCAATTCTTTAGGACTTTGAGTATGTTTGCTAATATTTTCCCGATGGCTCTTGTCCACCCCACTAAGATTTCTTGTAACTTCATTCAAGCGATCATGATGAACCTTTTGCTCAAGTATCTCCTTAGTATTGACCTTTTCGAACCCATTCAAAGCTTTAACCTTCTTAGTCTTGCTAGTGGAATTTTCTTTTGAAGGCCCATCATTAGACCTAGGAGAGTTTTGAGCAAGCATTGTTTTCCGATTATTATCAATAGAACTTCCATCTCTTACCTTCTCCATGTGATTGTTAGCTTTCCTTTTATTACCATCAGAACTTCCATCTTTTGGCTTTTCCATGTGATTGTTAGCTTCTACTTCAGCTCCATCGCTCGGTTTCTCTACACAATTCTTTTTCTCAGCTTTAGACCTCTGAGAAAAATCCTCAACCTTAGCTTTTTTAGGTTTTCTATCATCCAAATAAGCAAAATCTTTCGGTCTCGGGGAAGATTTATCTTCTAAAGAACTAGAATCCTTAACAAAGTTAATTTTGGTAGCCTCAGCCGGATCCTTAACAATGTCAGGATTTAACCATTCTTCAAAAGAACCAACAGTCGAATTCTCTAAATCTTCTTGGTTTGTAATAGAATCCGTATTCTTTAATCCCCCAATTCCTTTAGCATCAATAGGCACCCCAGGCAACTTCTGAACTACATTATTCAATTTCTTAACTTCAGGCAACTTATCCAAACCTACAACCTTCGGTATCTTTGAAGGCCTATCATTCAGAGAGCAAGAATCCTTGCCAAACATTGCATCCTCCTTCACCCCAAGGAGATCTTTGGGGGCTTCATGCTTCCTCTTTCCTTTCGAAGAAGCATTTGATATCTTTACATTATCTTGACTCAAAGTTGTATGCTCACCCTGCATCGTGGCCTTTTCCTTTGATACAATAGCTTTCTCATCGGGCTTTACTTTCTCAGAAGGCCTACCACCTAAATTATGAGTATCAGATTCTAATAGCTCTTGAACCTTCGCCTCATTAGCAGATACAGGATTATTTGCCACATTTACCTCATGTGAAGGCTCCCTACTGTCCTGTACTTGTTCTTCTTCACATCCATCAAAAGGTTTATCTGAAAGCTGCAAGGGTTCCTCAAATACCACAGCAATCCTATTATCCTCTTCTTTTGATTTAAAACCAGTTTGATCAATGATCATCTCATTCACTTGTTTGTTAAACAAATATTTAACTGTACAAACAATTGGCATGTAAAATATATAAGACACCGAGCTATTATATTACCTGGAAATTTCACAAAAGAAATTTAACTGCTATCTCAATATTATGGTGAACTTAGTAGGACAAGGTTAGAGATTAAAATAAACAAACCTTCTAGCCCGCCTATCCTTTCATCCATCTTATCTGAGATGATGAATTTTCCAACATCAAATGTACGGTAAAACACATAATCAGCCATTTGAAGTTGTTCTGCTGAAGGTTGTGGATTTCGGCTATCCCTTGAGATGCAAACAACAGAGCACTTGCCAACAATTGCTTCCTACAGATATAACCAAGCTCAGCAGTTACGGTACATGTGTGACATCCAATTGTTGCAACTACAGTAACAACCTTAGATATAAAACTCAGAACATGATTAAATTACCAGCGAAACGTATATTAGTTGCTCTAGCCTCCAGACACAAACAGATCAACATTAAAAGGTATCAAAAATTCACATTAATGTTCCCCTGCTTGCCCGAAAACAAGAAGAAGAAAAAGGAAGTCAACATGTATTCTGGTGGACCATCACTCAAACTCAAAAAGTTTTAAACCCACGTTTCGAGACACCCTTCTCATTTTAAAAATGAGTATTCATACCCCAATACAGAGTTTACAACCTCTTACATATCCAATACAACTTTTAGATTTCACTGAACTCCATCAAAATCACTGAACTCCATAAAAGCCCCCGTATTATCCAAACAGATCATCACTGTGAATACGAGCAACAAAATACTCAAAATAACTTAGTATGCTTCAACACAACAGCTATGTAAGATGCTCTACAAGCAACAATATAAAATGCATGCAGTTTCAAGAATCATTACCGCATGATTCTCTACTTACCAGAGGATTAACGTTTGAAAGCCCCACTCCTTCACCAGCGGCAAAAAAAAGCTCATTCTCCGACGCGTTCACATTGTGAGTCCGAAGCCAATAAGAAATCTCTGAAACTCTAAAAAACCACTGAACTCTAACTCTCTTGGACTTATCCGCACACTGCCAAATCTTTATAAGTTTACCAATAAAAGGATGATCCTCATCTTGCTTGTTGTACAGGTAAACAGAGTCATGCAAAGTATACTCCACACCATCAAAAGTGAATGATTCATAAAACCGAAGATCTTTCTTCTTGCCTCCAACTCTAAATTTTTTACCCCAACTGAAATCAGGCTCATCTGAATTCTCTCTTTCAGTAAGAGACATCCTTCCTTCAAAATAATAATTTCGGGAAAGAATTATAAGAAGAGCCTACAGTAAAACTTAAAAAAATCGAAAGAAAAGAAGTAGAAAAGGCCAGAAAAAATCGTTCATATTGCTCAACATTAAATGAACTAACCAATCCAAACCATGTCTTAGTGGAGTAACTGAATGAACTTTGAAAACCCAGCCCTTGATTCCAAATTATTTAAAGGATTAATCTCGTATGATGAACTGAACCATGGAAATAAATTCCGAAAAATTAACTATACCCACTTAAGAAACAAAAAGAATGCATTCATTGATTAACCTAATTAGTACTTCACGGGAAAGGGAAAAATCATCGGAGAAAATCCTAATCCAAACAAAACCACAGTAAAAACCCTTTAACGCTGCAAGCATTCAAGAACGGACGAAGGCAGCATGAAGCTAACTAAATACACAATGCCGTGCATCAATACGAACAGAAAATTAGGAATAAATTAGGATAGAACAGAACAAAGATAGCAGAATGATAGCCGAAATGATGAATTGCAACACATACTTGCGGGGTTCCCGATGAGTCGACAAATTAGTGAAAAACCCTCCCTAGTAAACTTGGGTTAATTTGGCTCCTAAAATTTGGTTATTTTGGAGCTAAATTCCTTCACTCCGCCGCTAACCACTCAAATAACGAAGTCTATTCAGCGACTTCCAAAACTGAATTTGGTTATTCTGATCAGACTCCTTTTTCAAGTATCTGATGATCTTCTCCCCACCGGGATTCTTTCACTCATACTAGTAATTTCGAGATTTTCCCACACAATAAAAAGAGAATCGAAGGGCCGCGCGGGGAAGTTTTAATTTCGTTAATGGTCCTTTTTATATTATGGAATATCTAAATGGTCGTCTTTCTTTCCAAATAGTTTTCCTTGGTCCAAAATAATACGTAATCCAAGTTTTGAGATTCGTATTAATCCCAAGTTCAAAAATCGATGTAGACTATTTTTTGGATATAAAGATATATTCTGATTTTTTAAATAGTAACAATGACAAAAGGAGGATTAACATTAAGTTTTTGAATATAGTTCTGTAGCGAGTTTCTTATTTTCAAAATAATATGCAATAAAATTTTGATTCTTTGAAAAACAAAACAACAAAAAGAACAAAGCAAACCTTTGTAAAAGTTACAATCGTGATAATTGTTTAAATCTTTGTAACCAATATTTCAAACATTTTTTTATAATAAACATTTTAAAATATTCTACCCCATGAGTGGAATGATTATAACTTACACACATGTAGATTTCAAATCTAATTCAACCATGTAAACACAATAATCTATTGTAAGGTGTATATTCCAAGTTATTGTTGTAAGAAAACTCAAAAATCAAGAATATTTAACGTGAAATATTCAATAATCTCTTGAGAACCCAATCAATTATTACTGGTTATTTCAAGTCCTTTCCTATTTTTTGGCGATCATGTGACAGATTTGTTCAAATTTGAAAATCATGGGACATCATTAACTAATTTTAAAATTTTATAATAAATTCTCCAACAGAGTATAAACGTTAAAATTTATCTAATTTTTCCTATTGAGTTACACATTTTGAGTTTGGGTCTTACATTCATATTACTTAGATCAATAGAAATCAATGACAACAAGTAAATTTTTAAGGAATTTATACTCGCTCCACTTTAATTAGTGAAATCATTACCCTCGATAATAAAGTAATATAATAAGGATCAAGTTTATCATAAAATGAGAATTTTAAATAGTAAAAGAGGCAATCAACCAATTTTACTTTTAATGGAAACTAACAAGGGTGATTTTGTAAATACCCTATTATAACACGAATCATCACTCTCCTATTGTGCTATGTATTTTCTTTGGGTATTTCAAGTTATTTAGATTTTACATTAAAAAAAAAATCTAAATCTTTTATTAATGTGAACTAATACATATTAGGCTACTGAATTTGTAAGCGTATTAACAGAAACTTAGAAGGATCTATATATGATGAACATATTCAAGATTACACCCTCCAAAACCATAGAATGGGCCATTCTAATAAACAAAAAAAAGTGTTAAGGAGAAAAAGGATAATTTGTAGATTAAATAGATTGAATCTACTTATAAGATGACGAACAAGACATCTTAACATCATAATTACTAGTAGTAGAAAAAACCGGTGGACGCCAATGATATATATATATATCCTACTATATTAGAAACAAAAACCTCCCTTTCAAACACCTCATATGATTGCCACGTGGCATGTAGAAAATACTAAATTGCCCTTTTGTCTAACCATAACTAAATTACTAAATCTCCCTTCGCACTTTACGTGACACGTTTTTTTTTTTAATTTTTTCTTTATGTTTCATTCAACTAGAGTGGTTTTTTAAATTGAATTGATCAATTAGGTTTTTTATTACAAAGTGTCAATTTTGTTTTAAGCGTATACCCTTTGGATGAAGCTTATTACAAAGCTATTAAAAATCTCCAAAACTAAGTATTGATTTGGCACGACCAATGGAGAACATCAATAAATCATCTTACTAATATTTAAATTTATTAGGATGCTTTTATATTTTATCTAACATTTATTTCAACACATATATTCGATTAAGCTATTTATATTTAATAAGTAACACTTATAAAACATTTCTAAAATATACATGGCGAAATACAATTTATTTTTTTTTTTGCAAAATACAAATATTTATATGATCACACTTATAAAATATTTCTAAATCCTTCAAACATTTCTAAAATATATCGCTCCAAATAAAAAATTTTATTTTTTTCAAATATAAACATTTCTAAGATCTACAGATAGACTGGGCCAGGGTCGCGCATTGCGCGACCAGACATCACTAGTATATATATATCCTACTATATTAGAAACAAAAACCTCCCTTTCAAACACCTCATATGATTGCCACGTGGCATGTAGAAAGTACTAAATTGCCCTTTTGTCTAACCATAACTAAATTACTAAATTTCCCTTTGCACTTTACGTGACACGTTTTTTTTTATTTTATTTTTTCTTTATGTTTCATTCAACTAGAGTGGTTTTTTAAATTGAATTGATCAATTAGGTTTTTGTTACAAAGTGCCAACTTTGTTTTAAGCGTATACCCTTCGGATGAAGCTTATTACAAAACTATTAAAAATCACCAAAACTAAGTATTGATTTGGCACGACCAATGGAGAACATCAATAAATCATCTTACTAATATTTAAATTTATTAGGATGCTTTTATATTTTATCTAACATTTACTTCAACACATTTATTCGATTAAGGCTATTTATATTTAATAAGTAACACTTATAAAACATTTCTAAAACATACATGGCGAAATACAATTTCTTTTTTTTTGTGTGAAATACAAATATTTCTATGATCACACTTATAAAACATTTCTAAATCCTTCAAACATTTCTAAAATAGATCGCTACAAATACAAAATTTTATTTTTTTCAAATATAAATATTTCTAAGATCTACAGATAGACTGGGCCAGGGTCGCGCATTGCGCGACCAGACATCACTAGTATATATTAGAAACAAAAACCACACTTAAGAGAAAGTACCACCATTTGCCACGTGGCATTTCCACATCATATTTTTAAAATAAATTTTTATTTACACATCAGTTTCCTAGACTTAAAAGGCAAATGCAGTCTAAATCCACCACCACCTCCTATTTTCGCCAAAACAAAAAAAAAAAAAATACGGCTTCATAAAAAAACACAAATCCTCATCTCCATCTCCACGACAATCAACTCCCTAATCAATCCCTTCTTCACAATAAAAAAAATAAATAAATTCCTCATCAATCATCAATTGAGAATATGTGGTGAAATATACTTCTTTCTTATTAGCATGTTCAATCTTTTCATTAGTGATGATCAACTACATCTTAATCAGATAAAATTTTGACTTCAAAAAATATTCCCTTTACCTCTCTATATAAACACAAAGGGAAAAAAAATTCTCATTGATGTTGCTTTCGGCCGTTGTGGTGGTGTCATTACAGATATTAAAATTTAAATGATTTTATATCCACAGATCATTTGTACAGCTGTTATTATTTTTTGTTTTTCCCGTTCAAGAATAGTGTTTTACTATTATTTTTATTCGTCCACCCATTACAGCTACCGTAGTAGTTGCCAGGCAAATGATGTGATTTCTTATATGGTTAGTCAGCTTAGAATTTTTGTATGATTTTAGTTCTATTTGAATTGAATTGATCAATTGGGTTTTTGTACAAAATGTGGTTTTTTTTATTTCTTTTTTATGTTTTGTTCATTTAGAGTGGTTTTCCTTTTTTTAATTATGGAGTCTCAGTTTTTTTTCGTATATGGTCAGTTATGAATTGTGTTTTTTCTTTGTTTAATTATTTTTGATTTTGTTTCATACTCCCAGTTGACCAATTATTATTATTATTATTTTATTATTATTATTATTATTATTATTATTATTTTTGCAAATGAAACGCGTTTTTTTTTTGTGTTCGGACTTTCAAGAACATACTTTTTTGGATTTGGTTTTTGGACTTTTTTAAAGTACTCATCATATAAATGGTTCAGGTCGCTTCTTCTAACTAATTTATGGGGAAGCCTTTTAAGAATTTGAGGTGGAGAGGGAAGGAATGATGTTTCTACGTTTATTTGTGTTTTATACATCATTTTTACCTACAGGAAAAAAAATTTCTCAATTTTTAATGGACTCTTTTACTTTTTTTTTTTTTTTGCCATGGTGAGGTGAGTTCTTTTTTGCTATAACTTGAAACCTATGCAAATTTACATTAATTTTCATTCTCATAATTGTGATCAACCAGTTTCAACAATTAATCAGTTTCAAAATCATATTTTTGATATTTTACTAGCTATAAGCCTTTGGAAGAAACAGTTCCAACAATTAAAGGTATACCCTTCGGAGGAAGCTTACCACAAAACTATTATAAATCTTCAAAACCAAGTATTAATTTGGCACGACAAATGGAGAACATCAATAAATCATCTTACTAATATTTAAACTTATTAGGATGCTTTTATATTTTGTCTAACATTTACTTCAAGAGATATACTTGATCAAATTTATTTATATTTAATAAGTAACACTTATAAAACATTTCTAAAATATTCAAACATTTCTAAAACGTACCGAGCCAAATCCACTTTCTTTTTTTTGCCAAATACAAATATTTCTATGATCACATTTATAAAACATTTCTAAATTCTTCAAACATTTCTAAAATTTATCGGGCCAAATGCAAAATATTTTTTTTAAATACAAATATTTCTAAGATCTACAGATATACTGAGCCAGGGTCGCGTATTGCGCGACCAGACATCACTAGTGTATATATATATATATATATATATATATATATATATATAAGGATGTGATTCTCCACTTACCCCCAACATGATTCGAACCCGTTATCTATTGAAAAAGGGAAAACGTCTTTATCATTAGACGTGAATGATAAAATAATAATAAACATATAAAAATTGATAGATCATTAAAGAAAAAGTAAGGAAAAATTAAGGTGAATGATTATGAACGATTTCAAGATTAGCTAAACTAGGTTCTGGACCCGTGCGTTCGCACGGATATATAATCAACTAATGTAATTAGTTTATTCCTTAACAAACCATAATAAAAGTGTAGGGCGAATCTTACGTTGTTTCAACTATCATAATTGACATTTTTGATAAGAGATTGGTGCAACTCTATTTAACTAACGTCAATTTTGCAAGCCTTTGAAGTCTAAAAGAACCAACTGAATCTACAAAGTCACATTTCTTTTTAGTAAGAGCCAGCTTTACTTATGAAAGTACTGGAAGAAATTCTGGAAAGTTAAACTATGATCGACCAAAATATTGCAGCAGATGCAATAAGTACCTAGAAACCGTGGAAAACCTTCTTCATGAATGTGATTATGTGAATGTTCACAGTAGGTTTGGAAATGCTCTGCCTTCAAATTTGGAAAATCTGTTGCAGCAAAACATTGTTATAACTATCAATTTATACATTTTCTGATCTTGACAGTTGGCACAAAAAGGATTGAAATATGAACACCATAAAGAAGAATAAAATATAATATGACTATGTGATCGTCACCAGTGAATGAAATCATTTCTATATGACGCTGAAAACTTGCAGCTATTTTAAAAAAAGAAAAAGAAAATAGAGACCAAGGAGAGAACGGTATATGGCCCCAAAAGTACGAAAATAATTTTTCAAAATGAAAGCTTTTTTGACTGCAAAACTAAATTACCGAATAATCTTAGAATTCAAACATTATTTCAATATTTACCATCACGTCTTCTTGATAACCAAAATGATTTTAATATTGTGTGGTCAAAAACTTTATTTTAACACTAAAACTTTTATATGGTACGAATAAATAACAACAACACTCACTTTTTATGGTAGTTGCTATAGCGTTACATTTTCATATCTTGATGTCTTCTTGCGTGATTTCCTACTTCCACCAAAGCCACTATTGTATGTCGACAGTGGTAATAGCTGATGATTAACGTAGCGGAATTTGAAATTGGAGATGATTGTCGAGAAATTACTCAATGTTCTTCCCGAAAGCCTAATTCACAAAAGGAAAAACTTATTATTTAATTGAGATTATGGGAGAAGAAACATATTTTTAATTGTTATAAATGTAAGAAAACAACAATCATAATCCACATATTAAGCACCTTATACTCCGGGAAATTCTTGTCCTGAATCTTGGGTTTGACATCATCATCGGGGGTTGCTGCTATCAAATTCGAGAATGATGATGATCTGCTTCTATCTTGGGAGAAAAGGGTGACACTTTGATGAAGAATGGAGAAGATGGCATAATTCTCACAGTATTTAATTAAAACTAAACAAACAAAAAATTGATTCATTTTCTTAATTATTGTTATAAAATTGAAGAAAAAATTTGAAGGATTACAAGATTCGGCGAATGATTGGTTTTGGATTATAATAAAAAATGAAGAAAAAAAATTTAATGGACGACGTGGTTTCTACTGGGAGAAGTTCTAATTTTTGTATTGGATTAATATCATGCATAACTAAATAAAAAAAAAACTGATTCCCTTTTATTTATTTATTTTTTTTGGAAAAAACAGATTCAGTTTTCTTATAAAATTTTGCCAGACTTTCAAGGATAATTTTACAATTTGGAATTTAGGCTAAAATTTAAGGAGAGTTTGACACTTAAAATTTTGGGTTAAAAGGGGTTTTTGTTATAATGGGGGTTATAGATAGCGTAGAGATTATTTTATACTCTCTGTACTGCATAAAAATAGTTCACCTTATAAATGTGACTATTTTCATAGGCAGACTGGCCACAAACAATATATTAATGAATATAATAATAAGAGAAATTGACGGAGTGTGGATTTCTCTAGTTAAATTTTGAAAATTTCTCGTTAAATTAACTAAAATTGACAAAAAAACATTTTAGGGGATTGTTTTTGCCAATTTAGAATTCATGGTGACTCGATCTTACTACTGTCAAAATTTGGGGGACGAAAAGTGTGTCCGGTCCAAAGTATTAAGGATTAATTTTTTTTAAAGTATACAAAAAAGGAATAAATAATTCAAAACAAAGCAGGGGGACTAAATTTCGACTTAGTAAAGTTTAAGGGAGCCAACTGATTACTGACATTATATATGCAAGGAAGTGAAAATTCGTCGAGTCTAGGGGCTACTAGTGCAAAAGATCCTCGAAAAAATTTGAACATAAAGAGATCCCTCTCTGCACTCTGTCCTGTTCCTGGTTCTTTACTGTTTCTTCTGGTGCTTCTACTCTGGGCGACCTTTTCTGATGGATTCAAATTAAACCCTTCTCTTGATGTTTGGATTCGAAGCTTTTCCTTCTTGCCCTTCGAGAGTTCCTCTCGCATAAGGCGAAAAAGCCCCAGTCTTTGAGTTATCGGTTATGGCGCCTGGTTCTCCTCGAGGCCGCATTGATCAGGTGTGACTCCTTCTTAATTACGTTATTTGGGGATGATTTGAAAGAAAAAAACAGTTGAAATAGAAGAACCAATTGTTATAAATTGTGTCTTTGATTGTGGGATTGTTGTCTAGCTGATTTTATGTTTAATGCTCACTAGAGAGGAGCGTCCATCTTTCTATTGTGTTCTTCGGAATGAAAATTCGTATTTTTATGGAAGTTTATTGCAGAGAAATTGTGGGTTTTAATTCGTATGAAAACATTGGGCATTTAATTTATCGAGTTGCATTTGACAAAGATAGGATTTTTGGTAAATGTGGAAAGCTTTGTGTTGATTCCAGGTGACATTATTCTCTAGGTTTTATAAAGTTAATAAAGATTTCTTGATGAATTTTTGATAAGTTAGGGCGTTCGTTAAATTTCTTCTTTCTTTCTTTTGGGCCTTTCTGAATTTTGGTGTTTCTCTTTATCTTTGTGTTGCGGTTGTCAGTTCTATCCTTCAAAGAAGAGAAGGAAGTCCATATCACCAAATGTGAGGTCTAAGAAAATTGAAAGAGATGTAAAGACTGCAACTGAAGGATCTCCTACTACTAAAGGCTCTTTGGACAATTTTTTAGTGGGTTCACAAGAAATTCAGAATCCTTTGGATGCAGCTGTCAATTCACCACGCAAGCGAGTACCAATTAAGAGAAATCTGACGCAGGAGATTGGTTTAATATCTAATAATGAAAAGAAAATCACCATTTCGCCAAACAAATTTCATTCTGAAGATCTTGCTTTGATTGGCAACAATCAAAAGTTGGTTTCTGAAACTTCAACCGTTGCAGAGAGCAACTTACACACCTGCAGGGATTTCCCAGAGAACATGCATGACGGCGGAGTTGAAAATCCTGAGTTGAAGCAGTTTGCAACAAATTTTTTGTCACTGTACTGCAGGTACTAGAAAGATTTTAGATGTTAATGTTCTCATGTAGTAGTAGCCATAGTGCAATAATATATGCATAACACCTTTCTATTCACACGTTTAGCTGTGTTTTTTTCCATATTGTGGTAATTTGTTCATATTGTTACAGTTATTTGCCTCGTTCCACAAGCTTACCTTCAGAGCCAGTTAATGCAGACAAAAATCATATCAGCCAATCCCAAGTTGAGTTAGAGAATACGCTGCATAAGAGAAGTCAGTATAGCACTAATGGGAGTCAGATGCAGGTTGAAGGTAGCGAAGCTAGTTGCTCCAAACGCATAGACATTGGGCCCATGCAGTCTACAATTATCAGTAAATCTCGTGACACTGCCTTCAATTGTTCCAGAGAGGTGAATGTTGAACCGAAATCAATATCCTGCATTGAATTCTATTAGATGTCGAATAACTTGCGCTTGTCATCACATGATATTGCAGCTAAATGTGGACTGTAATGATGAAGTATCTCAATCAAGCCTGAAGAAATGTGTTAACGCCTCTCCAGCTGGATGTAACACGCCTGGCTCACTTATTCATAAATCTAAGTCTCATGAAACGCCCAAATCAGGACGTGGAAGCTCAATGTTTTCACCTGGGGAAGCATTTTGGAATGAGGCAATTCAAGTTGCTGATGGCTTGCTTGCTCCTACGGCTACAATTTCTTCCCATTTGGCGGATGCAGCTGAAACTGTGAATACTTGTAAAGAGATGTGTTTGTCAAATAATGCACAAGAGGGAGTTTGCGGAAACAAGTTGAGCAACTTTGTCGCTGGAAGTGAAGCTAGAGATTCTAATTGTGTAACGGCTTCTGCTGCTGGAGCAACATTGAAGCACGGAAATGATTTTTCTATGGAAGTTTCCCCACTGCCTGTAAAACATTTTGATTTTTCTTCTGAGGACAAAAACCTGGGTGTGGAGATCACATCTCATGAAAATGTTGGTGAATCTCATGTTTTTAAGGGAACCAGACCTTGGAGTGCTCTAAATGAGGCTTATAAAAGCTCTGGTTTGCTTGAATTGCAGGAGAAGATATCAAAACCTACTGCAGCTGATAATAAGGTGAAGATATGGATTCAAGAGAGCGACAGCTATACATCTAATGCAAATGATAGGGAATTCACCAATTTGAGGTTCACACATGGATCCAATAAAGATAATTCTCCATCTAGTCATGCAACAGTTGAAGACCGTTTGGATCTTAGCAACTGGTTGCCTCCTGAATTATGCAGCCTATACAAGAAAAGGGGGATGTCAAGATTGTATCCGTGGCAGGTATTATTTTTTGGTGTTGTCTTTGCATGTGATTGGTACTATTCCTTTTTTGTTAGGTTTCAAAGTGGTTGCTAAACTTCTATCTATATAATGATTAGATTTTTTATCTAGTCCGATTTAATGAGGCTCATTTTGTTCTTCAGGTTGACTGCCTTCTGGTGGATGGTGTTTTACAGAACAGGAATCTTGTATACTCTGCATCAACGAGGTAATTTTCTGATTTAATTTTTTATTTCTGCTAATTTCTAAAATGTTCTAAAATTTTATTTTGACATGTGTGACCAAAAGATTGAAGGGAGATGGTGCATGTAACTGTTCATAAGGCGAGCATTGTATAGGATAGTGTAGCTTGTTTTAATATACTATTCTCTCTTTCTCTTCGGATATTAAGCATTATACGCAGTATGACAGCTGCAGAAGTTCCTGGTTGAATAAAAGACCAAATACAAAAGAATATTTTTATTTCTTCCTTTGATGTTGGTAATTTGACTGTAGATTGTGGGATTGTACAGTATTTGACATTTAATCTAACTTTTATGATGTGCTCTTTGAAAGAATAAAAGCTATCTTGAAAATCATCACCGATATTCTCAAGGACTTAGTTTGGCTGGCACCGTATACAGTAAATAACAACAATTAAAAACCTTTATTCCACTATGTGGGTTTAGCTATATAGATCATATCGCAGTTGTGCCCAGTAGCCAAGTATACGGTAGACTGGTTAAAATCACTTTTGTATTTGCAGAGGACTACAGTGTGGTTAATTTTTTCTTTCATTCCTCACTCTTCATTTCAGCATCATTGACCTCTTCTTCTTCTGATCCTTTAGCTGTGATTGCGCTTGTTAGGCTAGATTTTATCTATGCTTTAGGGAAATTTTCAACATGGTTGAATAGCTGAAACATTCTAGAGTTGTGAGCTATATACTTTGCCGTTATCTCTGATTTTCCTTCCTTTTACCTGTAGCGCTGGCAAAAGTTTTGTTGCTGAAATCTTGATGTTGCGGCGAGTCTTGTCCACCGGAAAAATGGCGCTTCTTGTGCTGCCTTATGTATCTATATGTGCAGAAAAGGTGCAGCATGGATTTTCTCTTTAAAAATGTTTATTTGGGTAAACCATGTAACTTTTTGGTTATTAAGTTTCTCTGAAACTGACACAGGCTGAACATCTTGAGATGCTTTTGGAGCCACTCAGTCGGTCGGTACGAAGTTACTATGGTAATCAAGGTGGCGGAACTCTTCCAAAGGATACATCTGTGGCTGTTTGCACTATTGAGAAAGCTAATTCCTTAATTAACAGACTTCTAGAAGAGGGCCGTCTTTCAGAACTTGGAATTATTGTGATTGATGAACTACACATGGTATCAACCTTGATTTAGTTTCTTTCATTCTATGTCACCTCCCATGTCTACTTTTACAAGGTTTATGCTTTGGTTCCTATAACAGTGATCTGTGTTTGTTAGGTTGGTGATCAGAATAGGGGTTACTTACTGGAACTATTGCTGACAAAACTTCGGTATGCAACTGGCGAAGGCAGTGTAGAATCATCTAGTGGAGAAAGTTCGGGTTCTGGTAGCAGTAAAGCAGGCCCTATTCATGGTCTCCAGATAGTTGGAATGAGTGCGACTTTGCCTAATGTAGCTGCCGTGGCTGGTTGGCTTCAGGTATGTTAGTTTATTTTATGTTCACGTTTCCCTTAATAGATCCATGACTTGTATAGTGTGACTTGATGATTCAGTCTGGTAGGGCACTTAGAACGATGGCATGTGATTTTTTTTTTCCTGGAATGCCTTCATAATGCAACTATTTGAATCATTTTGTCGTAGCTAAGGAGTATTATTAAGATTAGAATGCAGTGGGTCTGCACGTCATATGCAATAGACATTCATCACATATCTGTTTGGTAGTTTGAGCTTTTAGACATAATTTTTTAAACTATTTTGAGTTCTTTTTAGTTTCCTGAGATATGGGGCTTTTTGTCATGTTCATCTCTGTAGATAATTTTGCGCTTTAAATAGATAATAGTACAGTTGAGGACACGAGATGATCCAAATTCAAATCCCATTGCTACCATTTGTGCTGAATGACATACAGAATATCTGTGTTTTCTTGTGAGGTGCCTGTTTGGATGTTCTCGGAATAAGTGACTTGTTCAACAATGCGGATTAAGTAACTGGAGAAGAAAGTCATGCTCATTAAGTTACTGGATGTCTGTTTCGATGTTCTAAGCATAGCCTTGCAGACACTCTAAACTAGGCGATTTTGTCAATTAGTTTAAAAAATGTCAAGTTGGAAATCCTTCTTTGAGGAAAGTCCGAAACAGTATGTTTCAAAAGGTCATATTTGGTAACTGGATTACTTTTATTCTCATTTCAAGTTATGTCATTCTTTATGTCATGCTGAACTGCAACAATCACTCTTCTTTTTGTGGGGATACGGGCTCTTTTATTTTGTTAGAACAACAGATGGCACTGAGCCATCTCCCTGAAGAGTTTGCTACAGGCAACTATGCTGGGGCAAGAGCCCTGAATCCCACCCGGCTAGTCCTCTTCCTGGTGTAAGAGCCTCGCCGCGCATTGTGTAATGTACAATACAATTGTACAGCATACATATTGATTCTAGGTAAAAGAGATGATGGCACTGACTTATTTGTTTGGAGGTCATTATGAATGAAGTTTTCCTACCTTATCCAATATTTTACATAGGGTGCCCGCTGTTGGCAATTAACCTGATATAAATTCAGTTTATATCGGAGTGGCTCAATATTGTTTGATATTTGGTAGGAAGATGTATCCTACTCTGGGAGATTCGTAATGGCTGACAATCAAATTGCTCTGAGCTTTTGACCTTAATGGAGAAGCATGCATTACTGATAAACCGTTAACAGTGTGGATTTTGATTGAGCAATTTTTAAAGTACTTCTCTTACTATATGATACATGGAAAAAGAATTGGTGATTGATTTTTTTTTTTTTTTTACTGAGGGTGAACTTGTAGTCTTCACTAAGTAGGCGTTCTGCAATTAAATATTGTAAAATCATAGATAGTGTTTGATGAATACTCAAAGGCCACCCGTGGTACGTCAGTGATTGTTTTCCCTTCTTTTTTTTTTTTCTTTTCTTTTTCCCCCATATGTAGGCTGCTTTGTACGAGACCAATTTCAGGCCTGTTCCACTGGAGGAATACATTAAAGTCGGATATGCAATTTATAACAAAGAAATGACATTGATGAGGACCATCTCTAAATCAGCTGACATTGGTGGCAAAGATCCAGATCATATTGTTGAATTGTGCAACGAAGTGGTTCAGGAAGGTCACTCTGTTCTTATATTTTGTTCCAGCCGAAAAGGTTGTGAGTCTACAGCTAGACATGTTGCAAAGTACCTCAAAAAATTTTCCATCACGCCACTGGACAATCAAAATGAGTTCGTTGATATTGAGATTGCAATTGATACCTTACGTAGATCCCCTTCAGGATTAGATCCCATACTTGAAGAAACCCTTCCTGCTGGTGTGGCCTATCATCATGCGGGGCTTACGGTATGTCTTGTATGCTTTCTTTCTATATAAAAATTAGAACTCTTTTCTTCTTTTGTCCAGTTTTGTTTTTGTTTAATGTTCATGAAGTGTTATATTTGTCATGTTAATTCTGTTTCCTCTTCGGGAGTGCCCATTTCCTGATAATTTATTTGTAGAGTTCTCTATCTAGTTATGCAGGATCTTCTTCAGGAAATTATTCTTTTCTCTTTGTAATTCTGAAGGTTGAAGAAAGAGAGACTGTTGAAACATGTTACCGCAAGGGACTTGTGCGTGTATTGACTGCAACATCTACATTAGCTGCTGGAGTGAACCTTCCAGCAAGGAGAGTCATATTCCGGCAACCTCGTATTGGCCTCGATGTTATTGATGGGACAAAGTACAGGCAGATGGCTGGTCGGGCTGGTCGGACTGGTATAGATACAAAAGGAGAGAGTGTAAGTCTCTCTTTTAGTTTCTGTGTTTTGACTTACTGTTGATTTTAGGATTATATGTTACTTCTTTATCAAAAAGTTAAACATTTTCCTTTTTGAATCTGGATAAGACACACTTTTTAATGTTGGATTAACTTCAAAAGAAATAAATCTGATTTGACGAACATTTTTCTGGTTTTTCTTATAGTGCGTATAGTCTTCTTTAGTCTATTTAGGCACCTAAAGTAGTTGGAAAGATTAACTGATAGAAAGGGTGTCCATCTTTGTTGGCCCTCAACTTGAAATGATTGAGGGGGTTTCTTTTCTCCATTTTCTTTCCCACTCGCTAATCCTTTTCCAATATTCCCTTTTTTTAAAAAATATATAATATTATATATATGTATGTATTTATGTGCAAAAGTTTAATGTCATAACTATTTGTATGGTTTTTGCTTTACAGATTTTAATTTGCAAGCCAGAAGAAGTCAAAAGGATCCTGCAGCTTCTAAATGATAGTTGTCCACCCCTGCATTCTTGTTTGTCGGAAGATAAAAATGGGATGACCCATGCAATCTTGGAAGTTGTTGCTGGTGGGATAGTTCAAACTGCCAATGACATACATCGCTATGTTAGGTGTACACTTTTGAATTCGACAAAACCATTTGAAGAGGTAGTCAAATCAGCTCAGGATTCTCTTCGCTGGCTATGCCATAACAGGTTTCTCGAATGGAATGAAGAAACTAAGCTATACACAACAACACCTCTTGGCCGTGCATCTTTTGGCAGTTCTCTCAGCCCGGAAGAGTCACTGGTGATTCCCCCTTCTCGAACTCAAATTTGTCTTATACTTCTCAGTTTCCATTTATGTTGATGTCATCCAATGACTGGTAATATCGCTTGCCTCTTTAGCACCTTGTGGTCGCAGTGATCTTTGTGATGTCATCCAATAATTGATGTTTCTTCTGTTTTCTCAAGGATAAACTCTGGCAAAAGAGGTTGCTGGATTTAATGATACTTCATATGGCTTGCAGGTTGTGCTGGATGATTTGACTAGGGCTCGGAATGGGTTTGTTCTTGCATCTGATTTGCATTTGGTGTTCTTAGTGACACCCATAAATGTTGATGTTGAGCCAGACTGGGAACTGTACTATGAAAGATTCATGCAGTTGTCTGCTTTAGATCAGGTAAGTTTGTTTCTATTTTCCAGTAGGCTTCCGTGTGACATGAATTCTCCACTTCACAAAGTATATTCACTACTCTAGAAGCTGACAATTATATGGTTATTTAACTCTTGATTCTTTGCATTATCTCGTTAGAAACCTGGATCAAAGCGTGGGAAGGTGGCAAGTAGGGTTTAGTTTGGAGTTGGAACCTACCCGCCAATGAACAACTCTTCCGATTTTTGCACATACAAAGACTTAGGCTTATTTTATTAGCCTTTTGCATTACATTGAAGCTTCTAAAAAAGCTAGAACTTAAGTACCTAAGTGTGTCATTAGGTAGTGAATTTTGCTGGAACCTCTTCAATTATCAAGTTTAGCAATAATTTCCATATAAAAAAGGTGTGTATTTATCAAGCAAAACCTATAATATCCTGCAGGCTCAATTTTTGGTTCACATGTTTGTTGGCATCATTGCGCTGTTCTTCGCTTGAGTTTTCTTGTTTTATTTTACATGGGATCCAACATATTTATAACTTCAGCTTGTCTTTGTTTTACATGGACAAAATTATGCCTGTACGTAATACATTCTATTGAAGTTTCTTTATCTTGTATTGGAGTTTGTTAAGACTATAGCTGTTTTCTAGGGGAATGTGCAACGTTCTTGTTAAATCTGACAAACTTCATGCTTTGTCTTATTGTGACGAGATGCAGTCAGTTGGCAACTTAGTTGGAGTACAAGAACCATTTTTGATGCGTATGGCTCACGGAGCACCAGGTCGGAGTTCCTATAGGATGAAAGAGACCAGCAAAGGGTTGCAGGGGAAGTTGGATTCCAGAGCTGGATTGTCGAACCACAAGATGCTTTCAGATGAACAAATGGTCCGGGTGTCCAAACGGTTTTATGTTGCTCTGATCTTGTCAAGGCTTGTGCAGGTAAAAATTCATCTTTACCCAGTGTGTTTTCACTTTTTCAGTAGATATGCTTTTGTCTTCCACCTGATTGCATATCTTCTATACCCATGGATTAAAGGAAATACCAGTTACTGAGGTCTGTGAAGCTTTTCGAGTGGCCAGAGGAATGGTTCAAGCCTTACAAGAAAATGCTGGAAGATTTGCATCCATGGTCTCTGTTTTCTGTGAAAGGCTTGGTTGGCATGATCTGGAGGGCTTAGTGGCCAAGTTTCAGAATCGTGTCTGTTTTGGAGTCAGGGCAGAGATAGTGGAACTGACCACAATTCCATATGTTAAGGTTTGTATGTTTCTTTATCATCTCCTTTTTATGCTCCACATTTTAAATTCTGACAGCGAAGTGAATGTTCTCAGGGTTCGCGAGCTAGAGCACTTTATAAAGCTGGTTTTCGTAGTCCTCAAATAATTGCTGAAGCATCAATCTCTGAGATCGCCAAAGCACTTTTTGAATCTTCCTCATGGGCTGCACAAGGTAATTAGTGTTCACGATTATGCCAGAAACATATGAAGTCCTTGTACTCCCTTTTAATTTTTTTCTTCAGTTTGACAACAAACTGAATTTCAATGTATATTTTAATATATTGAAATATATTAAAATGTCCGCTATCATGCTCAGTCAACATATATTTTAATTTCAATATAAGTAATGTCTTTTGTTATAGTCTCTTCCCAAGTTATTTGTGGTCCTCCTCTTCCCCTTTTAAGGTCTGGAGATATTGCTTTGCTACATTGACCGGATTGATGCTTGTATAGGATCATGCATCTCTTCTCGAGATAGAATGCTCTTATATCCATTTTTCTTTTCTCTGATGAATGTGCAGCATGGTGTGTAGTCTTAAAATTCGTATACATGGCCGTAGATTTGACACCAGACTCTCTGAGTGGGAAATGTATCATGCATGTTGCACTTGTCTTCCACCAAATGGAATTGTGTCTTCCTTTTTTTTTTTTTTTTAAAAGTGTTGGGGGGTGGTGACTTTAGCTGTTAAAGAGATTTGCATACCCAGGTAACTTGTGGATTTTACTGTTGGAGTAGAATGCTTTACTTATGTGGTTTTTTCACGTGTGTAGTCCACTTGGGATTTGGTTTCCTTAAAACTCCATGGTTGTTGTAGGTTCAGCACACAGGAGATTACATCTTGGAGTTGCAAAGAAGATTAAAAATGGTGCCCGCAGGATAGTTCTTGAGAAAGCTGAAGAGGCCAGGGTTGCTGCTTTTTCAGCCTTCAAATCACTAGGACTTGATGTTCCATCCTTTCCTCAGCCTTTATTACCTGCTTATGCTGGGAGTGCCCCTCCAAAAAAAGCAACCAGCTCTTCTGGTGAGGATTCAACTGGTAGCTTTACTGATATGAAACAAATAAAGCACGATGACAATGGTATGGAATATCCTCCTGAAAGTCTTGCTAAGAGATCAGGAATGTCACCATTGGCTGGAATAGAGACTTTAGAGGGAGCAAACCCTGCTTCAACTACAGAAGTTGAGATTGTTCCAGGAAATACTTTATTGGTAAAGGAAGGTCCTAATGCTTCCTTCTACAAGATTAAGTCTACTTCTAATTACGCAACTGGGGCAAATACTTTGGTACCATGTCAGTTGACCAGGATCACCAATGGAACAAATGGTTGTAATGATAAGCTTGGTCATGTTTTGCAGCCGCAGCCTGGGATCGATACTCCACGTGTTGATAATCATGTAGCTTGGGAGAAAGGTCCTTTAAATGCATGTAATGCTCCTGGAGGATTTGACACTTTTTTGGACATGTGGGATAATACTTCAGAGTTTTCTTTGGATATCCATTTTAACAAGAGATCTGAAATCAATTCAGGTGCCCCTTTCGAAATACTAGGAATGGCAGTTTGTTGGGAAAATTCGCCTGTATTCTACTTGAATATTCCCAAGGACTTATTGGTGCCTAACAGCAAAAAGTCTGTTGGCTTTTTGTCAAATACTATTGGTGATATTGGGAATGTTTTGCCTTGTCAGCTGGATTTAGCCAAATCACGATGGCACAGAATTGGAATAATACTGGGGAAGGAAAATGTCAAAAAGTTCACTTGGAATTTAAAAGGTCAGATTCAGGTGCTTAAATATCCTGCTATTGCCATCCACAGAATTGGAATCCCTAGTACCTCTCTGAAGTCTCTAGGTCTGGAACTGATTGATGACTCACATTGTATTTTGAAACCTATTCACATGCAAAATGCAGTAGACCTGTGCATTGTTACATGGATCCTCTGGCCTGATGAGGAGAGAAGCTCCAACCCTAATCTTGAAAAGGTATTTTTCAAATATCATGTGAGAAAATGTTACACTGACTTGCATGACGGAAGTAATTAGTTCAGATATTTGGTTTTTCATATTTATTTTTATTTTTTATTTTTGGGTATAATAGACATGCGTCGTTCGATATTCTCTGTTTTTTAGGAGGTTAAGAAGAGGTTACCGCCTGAGGCTGCTGCAGCCGCCAATAGGAATGGTAGATGGAAGAATCAAATGCGAAGAGCTGCACACAATGGTTGCTGTCGACGGGCTGCCCAAACTCGAGCATTGTCTTCTGTCCTCTGGAAGTTGTTAATATCGGAGGAACTTGTTGATGTCTTTCTGAGCATTGAAATGCCTCTGGTGAGCGAATCTCTTTCCTAAGAGTATTGCAAGTTTGTTTTATTTGTATTTCGATATAAATTCAAAAAAGCAGTCTTGCTAAAATGATTGTTTGCACATAGAAGGCAACCCATCCTTCTTATAAATAAGATTATGGTTGTGCATCAAACATGTGTTGCACTTTTATTAATCCGATTTTCCTTGCCGAACATATCTGAGGTTTGATCTGATGAGAAAGCATCCATGCTTAAATCTACATCAAGCAACAGTAATTTTTTTGCAGTAGGCAGACTTTCCTGCTGTTTACAGGGTAAAATAATAAGTAGTGTTTGCTCCGTCTGTAAATATTTTGAATTATATGTTTCAGTTATGGTGTAAGATTTTAAAGTTATATCCCTCTTCGTATAATTTCTTTTTCATATTTAATTAGCTTTAGATTTGAATATATGGTTTCTTTTCTATTGTAGGTTGACGTTCTTGCCGATATGGAGCTATGGGGTATTGGCGTTGACATGGAAGGATGTCTTCATGCACGAAATATCGTAGGAAGAAAACTGAAATACCTTGAGAAGGAAGCTTACAGATTGGCTGGGAAGTCATTTTCTTTATATATGGCAGCAGATATTGCCAATGTGCTATATGAACACTTGAAGCTTCCTATACCAGAAGGTCACAATAAAGGGAAACATCATCCAAGTACGGATAAACATTGTTTGGATTTATTGAGGTATGGATTGGAGTGGTTGGTGTTTCCGTCATGATAGCTGCATACATATCTGAAAATTTGTTCAAGTGCCTGTGAAGCATTGTCCATATTCTGACTGAACAAAAGATCTTGTAAAGTCAGGCTGGGCCGACTCATTTCTTGAAGTATATGACTTTGTTCTGCTTCAAAATGCTCATCCTGAACTCACTGGACTCAACTACCAATTAGGCTTTTAATATTCATTTGTTCGGTATGCTTTGTTTTACAAATGCTTTGTTCAATATCCTAAACTCACTGGACTCAACTACCAACTAGTGTGGATTGATGGTCTGTGCAATATGTTTTGTTGATTGCATTTGCAATGTCTTTATGATGTTTTCAACTTAGGTCTATAAATAAATGTAATGCCTCCAAAGTTGACTTGATGGTTGAATTGGTAAGTTACCAGGCATAACAACTTCAACTGCAAGTTTATACACGCTGATTATGTAACATGGAGTTATTTTTAAAATATGGCACCATTATAGATTACAACCTGGTTTGCACGTGCTAAAGTTTGAATTTGTTTGTTGCACGATAATCTTGGGTATAGATTTCTTCTTGTTGTACTTGACTTTCGGTGTTTCCACTACTTCCAGCTAAGTGAATGTACTTGCACATGGTCGGTTTCAATATTTGAAAGTTGAAGTCCTTATGGTTGTGACATGTTTTTTTCAGGAATGAGCACCCAATCATCCCTGTCATTAGAGAACACCGGACATTGGCAAAGCTCTTAAATTGTACATTAGGATCCATTTGTTCACTTTCTAAACTTTCTATTAGGACTCAAAGGCATACACTTCATGGTCATTGGCTGCAGACCTCAACTTCAACGGGAAGACTTTCAATGGAGGAACCTAATCTCCAGGTTTGTGTTGATGCCTTCTTCACATTGATCTTAGTCCATTGTTCATCTTTTCTAACATACTTGGATTTATATGTTTGTACCTTGGACTGTCTAGTGTGTTGAAAATCTGGTTGAGTTCAAGATGAACACCAGTGAGCAATCTACCGATGCTTCAGTTGACGAAAACCATAAAATTAATGCTCGTGACTTCTTTGTAGCTACCGAGGTACTATATTTAGATTGCAAACTCCACTTGCACAAGATTTTAAGCAATTGATGACTTGCCAATTTTTGGTCTTTAGTTTAATAATTTTGGTCATTGCTTTTGCAGGACAACTGGTTACTCCTAACAGCAGATTATTCTCAAATTGAACTGAGACTGATGGCCCACTTCTCTAGAGATCCTTCACTGATTGAGCTTCTCAAGAAGCCAGATGGTGATGTTTTTACAATGATTGCTGCAAAGTGGACCAGAAAAATGGAGTCCAATGTGAGTCCACAAGAGCGCAATCAAACCAAGAGGCTAGTTTATGGAATGCTATACGGAATGGGAGCTAGTACTCTTGCAGAACAGTTGAACTGCAGTTCAGATGAAGCTGCAGAAAGAATTAGAAGTTTTAAGACATCCTTTCCTAGTGTTGCTACATGGCTTCAGGACGTGGTTTCTTTTTGTCGTCAGAAAGGGTCAGTTCTCTTAACTGTGCAGTGACATGTTTCTATGGAAACTAGTTTCTATTAGTGTGGATTGATGGTCTGTGTGCGTATTAGCATCCTGTCCTGTTTTATGCTTTTCGTTTGCTACGCCTTCTATAACTGTCCTTGTAGGTTCTTTTATCACGGTCTAGAAACTGGACCAGATCAGGATTTGTGAATAGTTTTTTCGGTGTTTGTATTATACGTGTTACAGAGCCCAGTCTGTACTGTATAAACTTTTCAAAATCAGTTCAGACCACTCTAAAACCAGTTTTAAAGAGTTGATTAAACCAGCAGATTTTTCCTCTTTTGATCATAGTTTTTGGAAACCCATTTCTGCTCTTATTATTGAATGCGTAAAACTTTTTGCCTATAAAGGTTTTGAATTCCATCTCGAATATTTCAATGAGTTGTATAAGATAGTTCTTGCAATAGTATAATTATTCATGAATTATTTTGTATAGTACTTTCTATTGATTTATTCAAATTTAAAAACTATTCTATGTTTTCAGTTATCACCACCCATTGGGAATATTCTAAACTTAGTACTATGATTTGTTTGCCATCTAGTTTGGTTTTTAACACAGTGCCAAGATATTTCTCCTTTTCTGGTTTTCTCGTTACAATGAACTCATCTGTTTTTTTCTGTTCCATTCAGATACATAAAGACCCTTAAAGGCCGAAAGAGATTCCTGGCGAAAATAAAATTGGGAAATGGTAAAGAAAAATCTAGAGCTCAGAGACAAGCAGTGAATTCTATATGTCAGGTAGAATTATTCTTCATTTTTGGATATCTCTTGCTCAGGGTGTAAATAGAACCGTTCCTATTGACTTATGTCTTTTTCTTTAGGGATCTGCTGCTGATATAATAAAAATTGCAATGATTAATCTTCACTCTGTGATTTCGGAGGACGCTGTAAAGTCTTGCTCTAGTTCTGATCTTGTTGAAAAGTTTCACATGCTAAAAGGTCGCTGTAGAATTCTTTTACAGGTACTTGTTTTTTCCGTTTTGAATTGATAGTGAACACTATTAGAACCTATATGCATGATTGTTGTATATGCCATTGTAACTCTGCCGTAATCTGTGTTTTTCAATGGAACTCTCCATACCCCAAATCATAGAACCAAGAACTAAAATGGATGTCTCCAACTTTCTAAGCTCGCCACTTTTGGCTGCCAATATTTGGAGGTGCTTTATGAAATCTCATCTTCAGGTACATGATGAATTAGTGATGGAAACCGATCCTTCAGTCGTAAAGGAGGCGGGATTGTTGCTTCAAATGAGCATGGAAAGTGCTGCTTCACTTTCAGGTAAGGGGCTGAAACATTGCCTAATGGTGTATTTAGCACTTGTTATGCCTGTATGCTTTGAAGGAATGTATCAGTAGTACTTAAACACATGGATGGCTGGTTGCATGATACATTTTAATGCTATTAACTCTTCCGTGAAGTCGAAAATGAATTTTTAAAGTTTTTCTTGTTATATTCCTCAGTTCCCTTGCGTGTCAAAGTGAAGGTGGGGAGAACATGGGGATCCATGGAACCTTTCCAGGGTGGATAATCCGTCTTTAACAAGTCATGTCTCCTAGAACCAGGTACTTTACTTTTGCGTTGAAGCAATTTTTGTTTCAAAGCCTTCATGTTTTTTGATGCGCATGAGTGAACGGCACTATCTTTAAAGTGAGCAAGTGAATATTTCATCTATGGTAAAATGAAGTGCAATACAAAAGATGCCATTATTACTGAGTAATACAAAACATGTTTATTAACTAGAGGTAGCTAGTACATAATCCAAGTGGATGTAAGCATTCTGAAATCACTGTACATAACTACTTTGGAACCCAGACGATGTGATCTTCAGGTAGGAAATGGCAGATGGGAATCTGCCCTGGCTTTACTTTGAGAACTTGGAAAGCCAAGTGTTTCGGGTTCCATTTTGTTGTATCTTCATGGCACACTGCCACGGCTTTCACTTTTGTTCCATCTGCTCCGACCATGGAAACTGTATATGCCCTGGTGCTCTGTGTTTCGTGACAATAAAATACTGCATACACATAGTTTTGCCGATGGCATGCTACCGCTTTATTAGTTGCCATCTTTTTCACTCCTGTAATGGTATACTTCTGCATCGGGCTCTCTTTTATTGCAGTTGTTGATAGTACCTCTATGTTTTTCCCCAGTCTGGAGGTGCTGAAATCGACCATTGATTCCAGGGAAGTGGCACAAATCTTCTGCTCTCCTTGGATTCGTGGTGCCTCACACTCTTTGATTGTGTTTTTCATCAATCGAGCTTCCTGTGACTGGGAATCCACCGAGAATCTGTTGAAAATGTCTCCCAGTTTGTTTGAGGAGAAGGGAATTGATTCAGCAACCTTTCGAGGTAAGAAGCGGGATCCATTTGAGGTCTTGAAGAAGTGCAAGTTCATAGTTGAGCCTGGGGCGATATTCTTTTCTAGGAAGAAAAGTGCCACATTTGGATTGTCATGGAGCTGATCTTTGGTAGCTGCATAGTTGTACAGAAACGGTTGTCCCCTTGGAAATACTCCGACATTTACTGGCTTCCCCTTATGATGAGGGCCTCTGCCTACATCAACACCAACGTTAGTTCCTCCAGGCGAAACACCAACATTCACGTCTGTGTCTTCATGTGCTTCAACACCAACTCTATCACCATCTTTCCCTGCATTTACGTTGGTGCCTCCGGACGCCCCTCCACCACCACCCCTCCCGACGTTCACATTGGTTTCTCCGGGTGCTTTGACCTGAACTCCATCACCACCGTGCCCGACGTTCACATTTATGCCTCCTGGTTTATTCCCTCCGGTTCCACCACTGCCTGGCCCAACATTCACATTGGTGCCTCCTGGTGCTTTGACGTGAACTCTGCTACCACCGTGCCCGACATTCACATTGGTGCCTCCTGGTTTATTACCTCCAGGTCCACCCCTACCTGGCCCGACATTTACATTGGTGCCTCCCGGTGCATTGACATGAACTCCACCACCACCACCGCCACCGCCAGGTTGCCCGACATTCACATTGGTGCCTCCTGGTACGTTCACATTAACGCCACCACCACCTACCCCAACTGAAACACCTTTGCTCTCCATATCTGTAAGGACAGGAAGCTGGTAAGCGCAAGTACAACAGAAATGCGAGAACTCATTGGTGTATTGTCGAACGCTCTTGTAAGATGAAATGCAAACATTCTTAATTGTTAGTTGTAGGACTGGATTCTGCAAAGTTTCACGACAAAGTAACTCTCATGCAAAACAAAACCACGAAACTAATATTATTCTCTGTATGAATGAGCTCCATTAATTGAAATCTAACCAGATGATGGTAGAAGATCTTTGATAGCTTTAGGCATAGGATTGTTTGGCAACACAGTGTTCCAATAAATCTCTGAAGGTGAAGCTGCATAACTTCCCACGAAAGCAAACTGGACAAATAAATTAATAAACAGAACAAACAGAACATCTCCTTCAGCCAAAATGAAAATGGACAAAAATATAGAGATTCGATCCAAAACAGCTTCAACAAGTAATACTCACCACATTCAGCAAGATGATGAGCTTTAGGTATGGAAACTCCATCGTGTTTGCAGAAATAATATGGAAAAATGAGAGTAGTTCTACGAGGATAAAAGGGGTGGATAAACATGGCCTAAAGACTGCATGTCGAAGCACCTATTTATACCTAGAGTTGTGTTTGAATGTGAAACAAAAAGGGTATCCAAAAACCATCAGCTATTTTGACTATTATTATCAAACCATCATCGTTTCTAACAGCTAAATTTTTGGGATCAAAGTCAATATGATGACGAGCGGAAATGGAGTCGGTTATAAGTTTGATGTCGTTGGCATAAGAAGATAAGTGAGACTAAAGATGTCTGATTCATTTAAGTTGCGGAGACATGGATCTCTGCTTATCTTGTTTCAGTTCATTTTTTTTTGGCTCCAAATTTGGTTTAGAATTTCCCAGAATGTGATGATGATGACGGTGGCTGCGAGTACAGTTTGGTGGGGTGGGGGGGGTTTTAATTTGCAGTAACGGACAATTGAATTAGTGCACAGTTGAGAAGCTAAGAATTTATGAAGCACCACCCATTAATTCTTGATGATACGAAGAAACGGAAAATGATCGACATCAGTTGAGAAAAACAAACGTCATTGCACATTAATCTTTTTAGAAGTCACAAGTCACGACGTTCTAAAATGTGTCATCTACAGATTCTTCAGTTCTGATTTTATTTTATTTTTATTTTTTTCTTTTCCGGATAAATCAATTCTAAAATCCAATATCTAACCTTTTCTTGAAGCTGTTATTGTTATCTTCTTAAAACATAAATAGAATGAAAATTGAGCCTTATATCTATTTGGATTTTGGGTCATTTACAAAATCACAATGATAAAAAAAAAAAAAAAAAAAAAAACTTGGCTCAACGTATTAGACTTTCACAATTTTTTCAGGTATGCTCTCACTGACATCGCATTACAAGCCGTCTAAAAAACTAGTTACATATATTCTTTTAAGAGTTTAATTGAATGCTTTGAAGATCATGGTAGCAAATGGAAGGATACCAAGTTAATCAAGAACCCTTTAAAATCAATTACCCAAAATTTTGTACTCCGTTTCAAAATAAGTGTCATTCTAGAGTTTGCACACAATTTAAAAACATTAAAATAGGGTAGTTAAATCACTAGAATATGTTCAACCAACCCATTAAAATAAATGCTTACCAATAATATTATTTCTTTTGGGAGTATGTTTGGAATTTTTTTGACAAAAAATGCATTGAAATCTGAAAACGACACTTATTTTAGAATTTCTCTATTTTGCTAAAACTAGACACTTATTTTAGAATGGAGGGAGTAACAAATATCATTAAGTATAGTACTACATGATACAAAGAAGGAATGAAGGACACATAAAGTTTATGTATATGGCTTTATCGATGATCATGAGAAGGCAAACAACATGAACCACAATTCAGATATTACAAAAACAAACATCAAAATAACCAAATTAAGAGATCATCTAAACGTAGTCCATCCATCTGAAGAAACTACACTTCTCTGGTGCGGAGGTAAATTAAGCAGAAACCCAAACAATGTGATCTTGAGGAAGGAAATGGCAGATTGGAACAGTCCCTGGCTTGACTTTCAACACCTGGAATGCCAAATGCTTGGGGTTCCAAGCTGCTGTATCCTTGTGACAAACTGCCACAGCTTTAGCTCTGTTTCCATTTGCCCCGATTAAGCTAACTGCATAAGCTTCGGTTTCCAGAGTTTTGTGGCAGTAGAAAACGGCGTAGGCGTATTTCATCTTGTGGCAAACCACTGATTTGTCATCCTTGATGCCATTCAACTTCCGGACATCAACAATTTGGTATTTCTGGGATGACTCTGTATCGGGTTTCTGAACCTCTGTTGAAATCGCCTCCACTTTTGAACCCAATTTGGATGTGGTGAAATCCACCATGGATTCCATCGATGTGGCGCAGTATTTCTCCTCGCCGTCGATTCCGGGCTCCTCGCATTCCTTGATGGTGTTCTTCAGCGCCTCCGCGGAGGCCGAATCGGGTTTGAGGTCGAATCGGGTCAGGACGTCGTCGACCCCGTTTGATGAAAAGGGGATGGAATCGGCGGTTTTCCGGGGTAAGAAACCGGCGGGGGAGCTTTGTGGTTCGGTGAATTTGAGATTCATGGTGGTTCCCTTGTGGAGATCCTTTTCGAGGAAGAAAAGGGCTACGTTTGGATCGTCGTGGAGTTGGGCTTCGGAAGCGGCGTACAGGTACTTGAATGGATCCGGCGAAGGGGTTACTCCGACGTAGACACGGTGACCTTTGTGACCGGTGGAGACGCCGACGCCGCCTTTGCCGACACCAACACGGGTGCCTTTTCCGGTAGAGACACCCACGCCGCCTTTTTTGCCAACACTCACGTGGGTACCTTTGCCTTTTCCGGTGTTAACATTTACACCGCCTTTGCCAACATTCACATGTGTGCCTTTGCCTTTTCCGGTGTTGACATTTACGCCGCCTTTGCCAACTCCGACGGAAGTGCTCTTGTCCTCGGACCAATCTACACAACGAACAAAACATTACTACTACAATAGTCGTGCATGTTATCTGAATCCATAGTACACTTAACTTTGATCAATTGCCCCGATTATTTTCACCTACTTAAGTAAATGGATTGACATTAAAATCAATTTCTTCAAATAGAAATGCTAACTTTTCAAAAGATTTACAAGAGAAATTCACTGTGATTAGTGCATGGGGTTAGGTAGGCGATTAAAATATGCAATTTACAGAGAAGCTGGTCTTTTTATGTCACTTTCATATATTTCACTTCAACAGACGAATACTAATACTAATATTTTAAAGTTTAGTATTAAATTCTGGTTTAATTTTCACCCATATCAATTTAACCAAGTGTATTGGATTGGTAGGATTGACCATTCGGTGACGCAGGTTATAGCTCAATATGTGTAACCTAGTGACGCTGATGTACATGATCTATATATAGTCGTTACTTACTGAATTTCTTGTATTAAGGCTCGGTTTGAATCCTTTTTTGGAGGGTTTTTTTTTTTTTCTGAAATAAATTAATCATTTCAACATATATTTTTACATTTTCAACACCAAAAATACCCAAAAAAAAAAAAAAAACGTATAAGAAACAATCCAAACAGACTATATTATGCCGCCTACTTCCTTCTTGTACGTTAAGCTCATTTAAATCTTGCATGCAGCTGAATATGATGCACGGTACGCCCAGGAATTATGGATGGATAAAAGATGAAATTTCTTAACTCATAGCTACAATATAGTTGTCAACAAAACATGAGCTCGATTAAACTAGTCAGACTACGTATTATGAGGGCTGAAAAATGAAAACGAACCATTGTGTAAAAGATCGCGAACTGCTTTAGGCATACGAGTGTTGGGCAACTTGGACTTCCAATAATCATCAAGATCTGCTTGGCTTGCCACAATTGCAAGCTGCAAGAATTCGACACATGAACAATGATTAAAATCTTTAAAATTTAATTAGTCTAAGTGGCAAAATATATTGTCGAAATTAATACTGTAATTTAAGAACATTTAAAGAGAAAGACACATAATTTTTATTTTTTTTTCGAATCTAAACCAAAGAACGGTATAATATATGTACTCACGGAAAGGATTGTGAAGAATAAAAGAAACCTCAAGAACTCCATCTTACAGTAGAAACTAATTGAAACCTACTAGAATGCTAACTTAGATAAGTGGAAGGGATGATGGAGAGGGTTTGGTGTTAATGTGGTGAGATGGGGATCAACAAGTGAGCAAAATGGAGAACAATTTATAAGTGAAAAAAATTAACAAAACTTGAATGCATGATAAAAGCAACGTATCACCTATAATTGATGGCTAGTTTAATTACCTTCAACTGTCATTGGCTTATGCACATTTAGTGCAAAAATGACCAAATGGAAACATTGTGGGGTATACAGATGCCACATGCATGATGCCTGCCCTTGATGACTTTGATGATCGATTTGATGTTTTTCTGCTATATGCTCTACTTGTACTACTATTAAATATTCATTATGGAGGTGGGATTTCCCTTTTCCCCTTCAGAATAAACATATCTAAACATTTTTCAAAGTTTTAAAACTTACATTCGTATTGAACGTGTACAACTGAGTGTTGAAGAACAATAAAAAAAAAATAAAATTAAGCGAACCCTGATTAGGGTTCTAGTTTTTATATGGCTATATATACTATAGTGACTAGAATATTCGTTAAGAGATTTTTTCATCTTTTAATATTAATTTCTTTAGATGAGTGTAAATTAGTTTGAATACGATAGATAATTAAAAAAAAAAAAAGAAAAGTACTAACATAAAGCTAATGAAAATGGGAAGCCGATCAGGAATACATGAGATTAGAAACTTATTCTGTAAAATAATAATTGTTTTTTATAATTTTGAAACAGGTTCGTTATGTCGCTTTGTTGAAAGTGAGATCTCATGAAGCAACCTAGAAATTTGATGACTCTTTTTTTTTTTTTAGTACAATAGAAGAAATTTAAGTATCTTAGGTTGAGATTAATACACGTAAATTAAAAAGAAAGACAAAATCTTTTCGCAATGAATTCTATGAACCAACGCCAAACAGAAAGGTTGTTTGCAAGTACGTACATAATAATTATGAAGAAACTGAAACCCTAACTAGAAAAAATAGTTTTAATATACTCCCTCCGTTCCATAATTATTGTCCAGTTTGTATTTTCATTTCTAGTTCAAATTGTACTAGAAGTGAGATATCAAACTGGACAATAATTTTGGGACATAGGAAATATATAATAAGCGTATGTGGGATCAGGTAAGTAAAGTAAGCTCAAAGAACAAATGCTGATATGACGCCTTGGTCGAATGCTTAGTGTTGGCGGGTAAATAGCCAGCGTCTAACTATCAAATCCCATTACCTTGACTTCGATACGTTTCTTGCAGGTCTGGTAAAAAGAAAAAGACTAAGAAATCATATGCCGTGATTCAAACTTATATTGGAAGTGGTTTCCTTCACAGCATGTTAAACTTGATTCGAAACTCTTCTTGATGTCAAATTCAGATACTGAGTTAGCTATTGATTAAAAGTAAAGACAACGCTGATGTAACATGAGACAATTATACAAGTTACGTTTTATTTTTTTTTCCCCAGAAAGATTAACACGTCATGTTTAACTATATTGGCTTATGTTATATTACCATTGTCAGTCCACGTAAATTAGTAAATAGTACAAATTTCAAAATTCAATGTGGACCATATTTCTGAGGCGAAGAGCATAATTTCCACGACTTCATCTGTAATCGGTAGAGATAAATATTAGCCGAAACTTAAGAAAAAAAAAAAAAGAACAGATTAAGATTCAAGTTGAAGCTAGTCGGGTTGGGTGTGTACATTTATGTGACTTTCTCCACGATTTATTTCCTCTAAAAAGCAAGACGGTCCCAAAAAAATAATTCTAACAAATATAAATTCTCAAAACTCAACATGGATTATTTTTCTGGCTAGAACGGAGGGAGTAATTGTTATATTGTAAGATGATGATACGTTGAATGTAGGGCATCTCGTCTCGTGACATGCATACCAAATGTTGAAGGGATATGGTCAACCTTTCTTTTTTAATTAAAACGTTTGGATACATTTCAAATATGTGATACTTAATTCAACTGCACAAATGAAAGAAGAAAGAAAAACAGAAAATAAATATGTACTAGTTGCATCTCTTGTCTCTCTCTGACTCTATTTTCTTCATGTGCCGCTAACTTTTCAAAGTCTCACATGTATAAGAAATCCAAATATGGATTGATATTTTTGTCTCACGGTACTATATATATCGAATAAAGAAAAAAAACATACCAAAAATTTGTTTGTCAATAACAAGAAATTAGTACTACTTGAGCATTAATAATGTTGTGCATTTCCCAAATATAATAATTGCCCTATTGTATTACAGCAGTGAAAGGATTAGATTTGTTACCTCTAGCTCGAAATAATACTTATTAATTAGATCAAGCTACAAATGATTTACATTTTTTCCAAGACTAAACCTTCTGTTCCACCGGGTAATTTAAACTTTCCGTTGATTTTCCCATGTCAAACAGAATGTGAAATACATACGTACTCCCTTCGTCCGAAATTATTGTCTAATTTGTATTTATATTTTGGTACGATTGGAACTAAAGTTGAAAACTCAAACTGGACAATAATTTTGGGAAGGCGGGAGCACTAAACATTTATATATTTCCATGAATTAGTTCTTTTACTGTTAGTAGCATATAAATCTAGCTGCAACCCCGTTACAACCAATAATGGAACTGTAAGGATCGATAACGTTATAAAGATCGAAACACAAAATAAGCCATAGAATATCATGTGGCGATGAAAATAAGGAAAACTGTCATAATAAATCTAATTAATTAATCTAATCAATATTACAAACCTAATACTAACTAATAAGCTTCAAATTGCGACAGATCAAAGATCATTATCAAACATTAACACCTTTGGGTTGGGGGCAAGAAGAAGCTGAGCTGGGCCTCACTCACTGAATGTGTTAGTCCCTCCGTCCTAAAATTATTGTCCATTTGAATTTTCAAATTTCGTTTAATTTGTATTAAAAATGAAAATCTAAACTGGACAATAATTATGAGACAGGGAAAGTATTTAACTGTCTTAAAATCGAACAAGAAACCAGATGGCTTACAAGTCTTTTTGCAAAATTGGAATGCAAAAAATCAGCTAAAATGAAGAAAATGGGGATGGCCCGAACTTTTGGGAAATTGACTTTGAGGAGGGAGAAACTACATAATGGATCTAGAATCTCCATAGATCCCACGGCAACAATCAACTGCCAAAATTTATTAAAGGTTACGTTCCTTCACATTATTCATCCACATCATCCCATACTCCCTTACAATCCACCATCCAAGTGTTGATGTTAGCTTTTATCCATTTTTTAACAATTTTATTTTATTTTATTTCTTTTGAGCTTCGGGAGGGGGGCAATGGCGAACTGTTCCCTCATGTTATGCAGTTAGGGCTCGTTCGTGGAGAATTTGTAAGGGTTTACACCGACTAATTAAAATTCGGTTGAAAATTTTGCTTCGAGTTTTCCATAACGCAATGTTATGGGGGCAGTTAGCTAGTCAGTAGCATATTGAAAGAATATACACGTGTTGCTCATGTTGTCTAAAATGGATTATTATAATTACTCCTTCCGTTCCTGAAAAATAATGCTATCTCATTCTAAAAAATTATATTGAGTCTTGAAATTGGTACTAGTTTCTGGGACAGAAAGAATATAATTTTTTGAATTAAAATAATATAATAACGTGTGAATTATTTGTCTTGAATGGGAGAAGTATTAACTTTTCTGGAAATCTCAAATTGTAATTTCATTTATTTACTTAACTAAACTAAGTGTATAAATGACATTTCATTGATTTACTTCATGTAATGGGTAAATCTAATATCATAGGCTACACGATTAAACAGCTAACTTCATTTCTACTTTTGATATTTCAAAAGTACTTCCTACGTCCCATTAAATATTTCAAAGAAATGAACTAAAATAGTACTACAATAATAAAATAGAAATTTTTTTCCCATAAAACAAGGTGATTAATTGATTATTGATTACACTTGGAACTCTCAAGGATGCTGTAAGGCATAGAAGTATAATGTAGAACCTAAAGGTTCTAGAAATTTCAGGTTCATTCTTTACCAAACTACTTGTACGTACTCTTGCCATGACAGAACACACAATCTCCACTAATATAAACCTTATTGATCAACTGTTATGCTCACATTTACTTGTAAATATTTCAAAATAGTACATTTTATACATTTTTACGAAGAGCGTCAAATCGTATAGTACAAGAGAATTGTTAAAGAAAAATGATATATTCTGTTAAAAAAAAAAAAGTATATAGTGAAAAATAAGATTAGTGACTTATGTATATTAATTAACGAGAGTGTGACAATGGCTGATTTTATCATTTCATCAAACTGTTGTAATTCATTATGCAATTTTACAGTTTCATCATGTATCATTGATGTAACACTATATCATGATGGTGAAGTATATGAACCTGAAAGTGAGTGACTGATTGAGAGTGAAGAGGGGAAGAAAGAATGGAAGAAAGACGTTCATGGCGGCATCTTCAGCCACTAAAGTTGGTTTGCTAAATCCACCTAACCCAATCCAACAAGCCTAAAACAAATCAGGATTCATAAATGAATGGCTTCTGGATTGGGCCAATATTGCCAAACCCAAATTTCATCTTCACATTAATCTCGAACCCTTAATTCTGCTTAGAGATGATAATTAAACTTCCCCAAAGTGTACAATTAACTAGTAAAAAATAACGTCAATGGCAAGCAAAACCACCCTAAGTAACAAAGCTTCCGATTAAAAAGCAACAAGCACCAGATCGACCCAAAACTTACCGAGACACTCAAGAACAATGCCGGAGAACAAAGCCCAAATTGCGTACTGGGTTGGTTCGATTCTCACCGAAAGAAAAGCATCATACCGGAATTTTGGATCTTTTTAAATCCGGGCATCCAGCCCTTAAAGACGCTCCTCTTCAATCGTCCGGCTGATAAACTCCCAACATTGAATCAACTATTACCGTGCAAGAATCATGTGTCTAAGCTACAATGTCGT